TACATTCTTGTCACTCATCAGTCATCTCAATGTGTAACTGAACTGTTATTATGCAATTATATCATTGATTTATGACAAAGAATGGAAGTAGAGATCATAATATATGTCAGACCCGTTCCTGTGAATCATATCCACTCGTAAGTGTTAAAGCTAACAATGATTGAGCAGAAGCTCATTACAAGTATAACTTTCACACTTTCTGTGACAATACCCCAAAGTTGATAGACTCTGGTGCACACAGCTAGATACTCAAGAATATGTAAGGAACAGGTAGTGAGTAGATAAACCCAAGGTTAGGAGAGAGTTGGTTGATGGTACTCAATGGGAGAACTCACTGAGGAACCTCCATCTATAGCAAGCATATATATACTAAAATATATGTGGTACTGTATAGTTAATATGAATGAAGGTAAATATTGCACAGTGTTCTATTGTATTCTATATGATATCACTGCAGAGTAAGTAAAGGTACAATATTATATCATATAACCAGTCACGTGACTTTCAAACATAAAAGTCCAAAATAAAAGGAAAGGAAAAGGAGAATAAAAGTGAAAATGAATGCCAAAATTACTGTTATAACACTTTTACCATGTTTTATACAGTAAATATTCTGAGTAGATAAAAATCAAGTAATAACCGTGAATAATCTAACTCACTGGGACATTATTGCATTCACTTCAGCCATCCACTATGTGGTAGCTCTTAGTTTGATCATAATCACCAAACCATCAGGGCTAAAAGCCCTTCAGATATGGTCTCAGAGGTCCTATGGGACTGTCCCCCTGATTATTTAGGGAATAGCCCTTTAGGGTTAGTGGAGCTGCCTCATTGTTACATATCACATAGTGGTGTTAGGGGTCCTACATCACTAGGTCTTGTCCCAGTTTATGTAACAACCAAGAGTGAATTACTCTGGCGCACTCAGAACACACTATAGAGAAGATGAAGTTGGGGAGTGGTTACCCCTTAGGCTGCAGTGAGTTAGTTGGTATTCAACAGGAGGACTCGCTGAGGAGTCTCCTGGATCTATTGGGGTATTTATACTACTACAGGTTGTTTGTACATGTGTACTATACAGTTGATGAAGGCAGTGGCTTGATGATATCATAGGGCCTAGCCCGTATGGCCAGCTCCACTGCGTGAGAGAGTTAAGTCTAAAAATAAAAGGAAGGCAACGCGGTGCAAGAAAGGGAAATGCCGCGTGGCAATTAAGGTATAAGGTTAAAGCGGAGAATAAAAGGAAAAGGAGATGTCCGGAAATTGTGTTATCGTAACAGTTTACTCTAAGGGTCCTATCCCATCTAATAGGTCCAGGTCCATCCCAGAGTGTCCATCAGATATATGGCTGGCATGTATAACTGCTTTGTTGTTGTTGAAGATGGAGATAGGGAAGACTGGACTTTGAAGACACATTCTGAGTTTAGCTGCTAGTACCAGACTAACGGCTTCTGCATTGAATGCACTCTGATAGGTCTAATCCCACACATTCTTATAATCTTGTCCCATGTACACTGATAGGTTTGATCTCACAAGTCCTTGTGGTCTTGTCCCTTATTTTTCAATAGATTTTGTCCCATGGACACCATTAGGTATGATCCCACAAATGCCCTGATGGTCTTCTCCCATGCACTCTGCCAGGTCTGATCCCACAAGTTCTCATGTTCTTATCCCATACACTTTGATAGGTCTCATCCCATGGACATTTAAAGGTCTTATCCAAAGAGTTGTTATGCTCTTATCCCATACAGTCTGTTGGATCTTGTCCCAAGGACACTGATAGGTTTGATCCCACAAATTGTACTGCTGGTGTGAGTATCCTTTCAAAACACCAGGGAGCTCCAGCAGGTATTGTAATATTTTTCTTATATCAACACCCACATCTTAATATACTCACTAACACAGCAATTATATATCAACTAACAATAATCACTGATTACCATAACCTCTGGTTTCATCTAGACTAGATGTTATGTGATTGCCGCTGACATCTTCGACAATGCCAGACATAATCAATTTGGTAGTATTAAAGTCACTCACACCTGTTTTTTATGTCATATGCATTTGTCACCCCCACTGATTATGTCAGGAAATGGAAGAAGGATTATAATATATAATTTAAAAATAGACTGGTACATATAAGTAGTATATATGTTGGTGTAGTTTATTTCTTCTCTCTCTTTCCAAGGTACATGTGCTCTATGTATATTGCAAGTTTTTTAATTTACATTATTCTTGATTCACAGTAATTTTGGGCTTTGATGTTATTGTCAAGCATCATATCTCTCATGTTGCTCTTCCAGGGCAAATACAGTCTTGGAGGCTTCTATCACTCCAATCAATCCAACAGTTATAAAGCTATATATATACAGTATATGATAAAACTTAAATTTTTGATATAATGTAGAGTATATAAGGTCGTGAAGAAAATGTTATAACATTGTGTATAAAATTTGCATGTGGTTGATTGAGACAAGATATTATAATATTTTTCAGACAATCATATATACTCTATAACATCAATTTTTCTGATTTTTGTTAAAATTTTTGTTAAAATTTTTTGTAGGAAAACCATTTAGTATAATACTCATGCATGATAGCTTAGAAATCCCTATAAAAACCTTGTGAAAAGTGTGATAACAATTTGTAGACAACATTTTTCTGTATCCAATTTTTGAATTTATCAGAATTTTCATATTCAAACATTATATGCAACATATTCCATACAAAATATTGGGAGATCCTAGGCTATTTAGCACATCATTAAAACAGGACCTATACCCTACATCTGGGAACTTGCTGGATCAAAAATTATATGTTCACCATGGGTTTTAGTCAAATGATTTAACCTCTTTCCCCAGTCTAACATAAAGTCTAATAAGAATGCTTTATGATATTATAGCATTCTGCCCAATTTACACAGCTAGGTAGAACATGTTGTTTCTTGTATCTTTGATCTGAAGATAGATCAAAGATAACCCATATATATATCCAACAGTCTGACATCTTCTTTTCATAGAGTTGGGTGCCGTCCATTGAAAACATGGGCACAGTGTCACCTTCTTTAACTTTACCTTCCTTAACAGTGTGTATGTATTCTTTGCCTGCAAAGAAATCCTCATATTTATTTAGTTTGTCTTCTATATTGAGTTCATTGAGTAGTTTTTGAGTTTTTGTGTGACAATGTTGCATATTCAATGCGCTAGCAGAGTCTCTCCAGAAAGCTTGAATCTGGGGTCCGATGGGTATGGTATGGAATTGTTGTTTTGGTTTCTTTGTTTTCTCTTGAGTAGCCTCCAAGATACGCTTGTCATACCAAGAGGTGTTGCAATGAGGACATACTTCTAAGTGAGCAAAGGGTCCTGTATATGCTATGCACAAATTGGTGCACATGTTGTGGATTAATGAGTTGACACCTCTGAGTTCAACCATTTGACACTTCATGCAATAATGGGATAAGATTCTGTCAGCATATTCTGGATGCAATTGTGCATAGGCCTTGCAAACATCATTATATACTTGCTCTGAAGTGTTTGTTGCTGCCAGGAAGAGATCAAGAGAGAAACATTTGTGAGAGTCTTTGAGGGTGCAAGGATGTTGGGGAGGATTTTGAAGCCGCTCAAGCGTTTCTGGGTGGATTGGGACACTGGGGGCATCCAAATTTGCATTTTTTCTGGCTCTGACAAATTTGATAGCAGTTTGAAGATCTTCAAGCTGCGTGAGATCAGATATTTCTTGTAACTCAGCCTCATCGAGTTCTTGACTATTGTCCACCGCAGGATCATCAGAAAAATCCTCTTCAGGTGATACTCAATTATCTTTGTCATCTGGAGGCTTAGAAGAATCAGGAGTTTGCAAGCGAGGGGATTGGGGATCTATGTATGTATGCTAATATAGATTAGATATATGGAATATGTACAAGATATGGAAAGACACACAGATGCTTCCTCGACTATATTTTGCTGTGTCTCCACCGTATTGTGGGCTCCTTTTTGTTTCTTGAGTAGCCTTGTAGGTATTGACAAAGATGTCAAAGAGGATGGGATAGATGCTTCTGCTCAAAAGCCAAGTTCTACAGCCTTCTATGCTATAAATTGTTTGGTTGCGTCAGACATATGTCCTTTGCGAAATCCTTTGTGCCTGTAGTAGGTTTTTTTGGATATTTTCTTGAGGACACCCCTGCAATACTTGATGCAATCACAGTGAAATTCTTTCAGTTGGGGAGAAATGGGGTCCATGGAGATGTGGTGGAAGAATGAAGGCAAAACGAGACTGAGTAGTGCACTCATGTATTTACCCAACTATGCTACACAGTCTTGTGCTGTCCTCAATATGTCGAGTTGTGAATGTTCGAGTGGCGATCGGATCAGATCAAGTTGAAGTTGAGTTGAAGTCCATAATCTCAATCGTTTTGAATCATGAAAATTTTACGCTAAATTGGTCTAATTGTTTGGCAATCAGACATTGCCTGACAATCTATCTAATTCTGGTTCTATTTTGTCATTTCTGGCTGGGGATGAAATTTTATATTGGAAATATACTTTTTTATTATATATAGCAGGCTAGTAGGGACAAGACACCTCAGATATTCCAGTGAACTCTGCGCCAACTTCACTGGAATATCCAAGTTGTGACTAGTCAAAGAGATTACTGATCTAAATAAACACGAAGACTCAGTGTTCTGGGGAACAACTCTTTGTATTGAATTAAGTACCTAAATAAACACTAAGACTACCATGTCGGAGATTTCCTATACTGGTTGCAAGAGCACGTGATTGGGTTGGTGTGATAAGCAGCGTGCAAGCAGTGTAGCTTACTAACAGTCGGCCGGTTCGGTTGCAACCAGATGGCAACCGTATTGCGTCCGCATCGATTCGCTCTCACCAACGACGACGTCCTTCAATCTGTCTGTACATAGTCAGTTTTGCCCATAACTGTATATCTGTACTGGCTTCAAGCTCTATCCTCAAGAACTGTGTATCAACAACTCCTTGATAAACATGCCGAAGGACAAGCAAAAGGTTCCCAGTGTGTATCTCCACACAGAATCTATTGCTCTTGACAATCACGATGATGGCCTCAAAGCTTGCCCTTCCTGCGGGGGACGTTTCAAGCCTATGGGCCTCCCCAGACACAAAGCAACATGTATAAAGCGGATGGCAGATTTGGCGCAAGACCTTCAATTAGACAAGCAGCTTCGGAAAGAAAAAAAAGAAGGTAGGCAGATCAGTCTGACATGGAAACTGAGTACTCATTAACGTTTCTGCTTAGCGAAAAAACTAGAGAAACAATTTGCAGTGGGATCTTCGTCAAAACATGTATGGGAAAACACCGACACCAATTTTGACGTAGAAGATAACTATGGTAGGTATATATCAGTCTGGTGCTTGTCGGTCGTTACTATTTTATCTTTACAGGATCATCTCGTTTTCATGATGCACCCCCTGTCGGGCTGAACTTCATGGGGGAAAGTCTTCAAATAGATGATATCAAAACTGAGTACCACCCTACACGTGGCCGCACTGCAAAAGTGGACCATTTCTCTGATTTCAAACGTGGATTTTCTGCCAAAGCACGCATCAAAAACTCATGTCCGTGGCAGCCATTCAAATCTCGGGTCGACTTTGAATTTGCGGAGGTCGCTCTTGAAGCAGCGTTAAATAAAGACCAGATAAATAGATTAGTCAAGGTCATTCACCAGAGTTTACAAGACCCTGGCTCGTTCACTCTGAAAGATCAATCTGACCTTTACGAGACATGGAAGATTGCTTCTCATGCCCTAACTCCGGTTTGTGTACACATTTATTGCGTATGAGAACTGACAACAAATAAGTCCAGTTTGAAAAGACTGTAATCAATGTACCATATCAAGGCAAAGACCATTCCTTTGATGTTCATTTTCGTTCGCTGTGGGATTGGGCATTGGACTTATTAGGGAACCCGCACCTCTCAGAGCACTTTGTATTTGATGCCAAACGGCTTTCCAAATTTAACGGTGACAATTTTGTACAATTCATTGACGAACCATGGACAGCTGGGGATTTCTGGGATATTCAAGTACGTGATGTTGAACTTATTTGCTATTGTATACAATTAATATACATGTTGTAGTCAAGGCTTCCAGATGGTGGAAAGCCTCTATGTTTTATTTTATATGCTGATAAAACAATTCTGTCTTCTTTCGGGACTGTAAAGGGCTATCCCGTAATTGCACGATGTGCAAACTTGCCCACTGATATCCGAAATGGTACAGGTGTCGGAGGTGGAAGAGTTGTAGGGTGGCTTCCGGTGGTATATATTATTCAATCCACACTATTATACAGAGCATAATGGTTATTCATTACAGGTGCCGGAAGATGAGGAACATAAGGGTAAAAAGAGTTTTGCTAACTTCAAGAATGTCGTATGGCATGAATCATTTTTGAAAGTTGTTGAATCTTTAGAACTTCACGCCAAGACTGGCTATTATTATCAGCGCACTGAGGGTGATGTTCTTTATCTTTTCCCTATTATTTTGATACTTTCTGCTGACTACGAGGAACAGTAAGTAAATTCTTTGTATCCATCAACTAGTTATTTATCCTTCATAGATGTGCAATGTCTTCATTACGTGGGACAAATTGTAATTTTCCGTGCCCAATATGCCTTGTACCGAGGGACAAACTTTCAGATACAACACAGACATTTACTTGTCGGACCAGTGCTCATTCAGAATCTATATTACTAGAAGCGGAGCAGCAGCAAACAGCGGCAGACAAGGAAATTGTCCTCAAAAACTGTGGACTTCGTCCTGTTAAGGTGAGATATCTTTAATACTGCTATATTATGCTCATATGGGATAAGAATGTCTTTTGGAGGTTCCGTTACTCTGATGTGCATCAAGCATTATCTTGGGACCGGCTACATGCACATAATAGTGGCCTATGGGGCCATCATCTCTGGAAGGAGTTTCTATTCTGGATAGAAGCAGAGGGCCGAGCAGCATCCCATCAGCTTGATGATCAGTACGCACTCTTATCTTATTAACACTTATAACATATATTAAATCACACTAGGTTCAATGGTATGCCTCGTTGGCGAAATCTGAACCATTTTGACAGAGTGGCTAGCATAGAATTTTCGGATGCAACAAAGCATGAAGATATATCCAAGGTATAATCAGTATGGTTCGTCCTTCGTCGTTTTTTAAATACCTATTGTAGATGGTTATCTTTGCTTCGCACAATATATTTGATGTTCGATTACACAAGCCAGCACATCTTCTTTTGAAGAGCATTCACCTCTTCCTTGATGTTGATATGTATACAGGACTAACAGTTCACACGACAGAGACTATTGCAGCTGGTAGACAAGCTTTGAAGCTATTTTCACAAGCTATGGATGTAGGTTGCCATCATTATTTTTCATTAATTATTAAAGACTTGTGCAGGAATATTTAAAGGCGGCAGATGGACTTAGAGACAAAAGTTGGAACTTTCCGAAGATGCACATGAATAAACATGCATTTGAAGACATCGAAGCAAAAGGCGTAACCCGGAACTACAATACAAAACCAAACGAGCAGTTACATGGCCCACTCAAGGATTCTTATCGATTCCGAACAAACTTCAAACACGTTGCTGAACAGGTTGGTCTGTCTAATTTATAAGGACAACCAGTATCTGATATCATCACTTAGATCCTTCAGGCTGACCATTGGTGTCTGGTGTCATGCTTTATCCGCCAGGATATAGCAGCTTTTGATAGCCAGTTAATGGGTGATCTTGAAGGGGATGAAGTTGACTTGAAGATCACCGAAACGAGTCATGTGTCCCTAGGCTCAAAGTGTCCTGCAACATCATTTCAAGGCCTGGAAGAAGCACGCAAGGATGATACAGCATTCACAAGCTTTCGTATAAGGCTCTCAAATTACCTTAACATATTTTTCAGCGCAAATAATATAGCATTCCCTGGTGGGAAACACATCAAATTGGGGGCTGAAGACAAGATTACAGAATATTGTTTCATGAAAGTTGACTATGAATCTATAGTCGATTGGCGACAATATACCAATTACCTTCGATGTAACCCTTGGTTTTACAATCATCCACGATATGATTGTGTCCTACTGCAAACAGTGGACTCAAGGATTTTCGCTCGCCTCATCATGCTATTTATTTGTACCATTGATCAGGTTGATTATCCGTTTGCGCTGGTTCAACCATATGATGCTCCAGTAGGTCGGCGGCGACACAAAGACAAGGACCTTGGGCTCTGGCAAATTCAGGCAAAGTCACGCTCAGATGCTGGGTTCGTCCCTCTTCGTTCAATAGTTCGTGGTGCAGCTATGGCCCCAGACTACGAAGTTTCTGGCGACTTCTTTCTCATTGACACAGTCAATTCTGATTGGTTCTTGCGCACAAAGAAGATGTGGTCCGAATTGCCAGCGAAGCATACCTAAGGACAACTGGGAACAGACAAGCAGTCCCTAGTATGGATATTCCGTCGTTCTCCACCTTTGGCTTCAGTCTGCAACGTTCTTACCCTTTCATTTTTCATTTCTGTCGTCTATCATATCCTAGTTATTGTTTAACGGACATTTCTTGTTCATGGCTTCGAATATTCCTGTGAGCTTTCTCTATCTTTTACTCGCTCATTGCTGTGACTTCATCGCTCATTGCGCGCTCATTTAATAGACACGGCGTGTAACGCGGACGACTCGTACAACAACTCTTAAAGATAACGAGAATGCCAATGCTTGTCCATCGCGTCTTACTGCCCGAGTGAAACCCCCATCATCGAATGGCTCTGGTACTGCTACGATTGGTGGTCTGACCTGAGCTACTGCTGCAACCGCTGCATCTTGAGCAAAGGCGAACGGTAATGATGAGAACAAGGTCAATCTCGCCGCTCAAGGGAAGAGAAAGCGTGAGGCTCTGGGAGAAGTCACGAGATTTGTGAACAAGAACAAAACCACTAATGTTCCAGCTAAGGAAGTCAAAGGGAAGAGGAAAGAAGCTGATCCCGTCAAGGAGGTTAAGGAGAAATTTGATGGCGTCGTGATCAAGTCAAAACCGTCCCTGGTTGCTGCAGCAAGGCAACCGTTGTGCACTGTCTCAGGTTCTACGACACGTCTTGCCACAAGGAGTACAGTTGTGGCACCTCAAGTGCAGAATCTGGACAAGGTGAAGGAGGAGTCTGGAAAGGTTGCAGATGAAGATGCCATGGCAATTGATGACCATCCAACTACCAATGCAGCTCCCTCAGCAGAACCTCAGCCACACCGGGTCTCGACAAGACGTTCGGGTTTAGCTTTGCAAACCGTTGTAGACGAGACTTGTCCATCAGAGGTTCCAACTCGCCTGCCAACTCGGCCCCCGCAAAGCACGAGGATGACGTCGAGGACAATGGTGTCTTCAAGAAGCGGCGCACGTCCTCAGACATCCCTGACGAAGTGAAACTCTTCGAACAAGAACAGTTACAACAGGAAGCCGAAGAAGCTGCTCTTGAAGCTTACGCAGATAGTGAACCAGAGGCAGATCCCTACGGTGACCAATGGGATGACCTCGATGCCGAGGATGCAGACGACCATTTGATGGTTAGCGAGTATGTGATTGAGATCTTTAACTACATGAAAGAGATCGAGGTGCGCATTGTTTTGACATACTCATTAACTATATCACTGATGATTCATAACGTGCAGCTTACCACTATGCCCAACCCGAACTACATGGAAAGCCAGAAAGAGCTTGCGTGGAAGATGCGTGGAATCCTCACTGACTGGCTGGTCCAAGTCCACGTCCGTTTTCGTCTTTTGCCAGAAACGCTGTTCTTGTGCGTTAACCTTATCGATCGATTCCTTTCCACACGCGTCGTTTCCCTTGCAAAGTTGCAACTAGTCGGTATCACTTGCCTTTTTGTTGCGGCAAAGGTTGAAGAAATTGTGGCTCCATCCGTTGCGCACTTCTTGTACTGTGCCGATTCTTCGTACACTTATCTTCGCCAACGTCTCTTGTTGAAAACGGGAGGGCTCTCGTAAATGCTGCGTGTTATTCAAATGGTTGGGTGAACACCAGTGCGAGTTTTGGCGAATACAACTTTGGTGCGCACTATCTGTCCTCGTTTGGGTATTGTCAATGAACTGAATTCATTCTTAGACCTTTCCGATAGGAAACTATTCAAGTTTGCTTTAGATCCTCCTACTTTAGCGTCGGAGGAACAAGGAAGGCTTGGCTCGTGGGCTCGGGATCTCAAGGACTGGGGGGCAAGCCCGGGCGTTATGGACTGGGACTACTTCACGCTAGATGATTTATCTAGCTTTGAAAGCACAGACTTTGAATATTTGTCTGTTTATTTTCATAGTTATGACCGAAAACGCCCGGGGAAAATAAACAGACACGAGTCCGAAATACAAGATCCTGAACCGCTCACAGACGAGGCTAGGACTTCTCAACGTAGAGCTCGATCTCTTTCACAAGAACCGTCTCCAAATGATTTGGTAAGGCCATCTAAAAGGACCCATTATGACATCTCTCCACTTTTCACAGTGATACCTCAGGTTCGTGGTCTTTTGGCTTAGAGCAACTTTCAACATTAATCGTCCTAAATGGATCGCACAATAGCCCCACTTTTACTCTGCCCGTTTTACAGATTGCCCGCCTAAAACTGCGTTGCGCGTTAAGCCCTATGCCACAACAGACAAAGTACCATTTTCACCATATAATTCCAAATCAGTCCTGGAATATCTGGATACTCCTTATGCTAGGGGAGCTTAGCTTATTCCTGTACGTGGAAGACCACCCTGGGATGACGCAACCGTCGCAGTCATATTGGATCCACTACCGGGCGAGGACATTCTGCTTCCCAGTGGCCCAGTATCAGGGGTAGCGAACAATTCTCAGATCGCTTGGACACACCCAGCTCTGCTCGCTTTCTGGGATTTTCTTATATCTCTCAGGGAAGCAAATACTCTTGGACCTATCTCGCTCGAAACTGAGATCCTCCAAGCAGAGTGCTATGTCTTGAAGACGCTCAACTGGAATTTGAGTTATCCCAGCCCAATGCACTTCTTGAGGCGGATCAGCAAGGCAGACGAATATGACGTGAAGGCTCGCACGATTGTCAAGTACTTCCTCGAGATTCAATGCCTAGAGTGGAGATTGTTGGCTGCACCTCCATCATTGATAGCTGCTGCTGCTATTTGGCTTGCCAGGCTGATTTTGGGTCAGGATAAGTGGGTGAGTAGACTGACAGGATGATTATCCGCATTCGTTTGATCACTAAATTTATATTAAACTCCGAACCTTGCTCATTACTCGTCTGACGCCGAGAGTACCATCATTCCTACCGCAAACTTGAAAAAGATTATCTGTAATGGTAACATCATCAGTAGTGGAAACGACAGGAGAAAAGGTGTTTGATGTAATATGAACGTCATACATCCAACGCACCAAAGGCTTGCTGCATCCTCATGTTACAATGTATACATAATGGAAACGCAGCATCCTCGTGTTTCATTTTATGTAAGTCGGCTGCAACTGCTTTAAAATCTCGCTGTTTATGTTTGCCCTCCCAGCATTGACGTGACCCAACATTCCTCAGCCAGATGCCTCAACACGGTGCAAGACGACATGACGGCAATTCAGACTCAGATGAACAAGAGAACTTTAATCGTGTCTTTTCTTCAGAAACAACTGACGACTGTGATGATTCGGAGGAGAGCTGTGACGAACCTGGCAACAAGAAGCACACATTTGAGGGCCAGTCATCTAATAACAGCCATAGACAGGATCTCCTGGCACTTGCGATGCCGGGAGATGGTGCATCCATTGCAGAGCTCAGAAAAGTAAGTAAATGCGTTGCCTTCTGCGGATCATAAAAATCAAGCATCATCACAGGCACTTCAGGCTACGCAACTGCACTTACATGAGATCCGCAATGACAACAGGCGGCTGAAAAGGGACAATGCATTGCTTAAGGCAAAGCAGCCTACACGAGCTCGGGCATCAGCTGTCCCAAAGGAGGTCATTGCTCACGATGAGGAGATTGGGAAGCTCGCAAAGAAATATGGGATTATGGTTGATATGTCGGTAAATTTACTGTGGTTTCGAGCAGAACGGCCAGCTGGATCCGATGTGCCGATAGTGGACTCTCCAAAACGCTATGCATCAGCACTTGCGGAAGAGCAGACGCAAATTAGAGAACTGCATGAATTCATTCCCATCCACTTCCATCGTTTAATGAAGGATAGCCAGCATCTCGGCAACCTGGTATGTCTGTTTTACGCCATTCATTTCATATGTAAAAGTAACAAATTGTTTTTTTATAATCTAAGTTTCAAAAAAGGCTACGCAGTGGCCGTTCAGATGTCATTTTCAAAATTTGTGGCGAAGCCAGCAAAATATTTGGTCTCCCACAGCATTATTTTGAAGTCCTGTTTGACAGGACCTCAGTTCCGGAGCTGAAAATATTACAAGGAGCCAAACTGGTCGGAGAGCAAATAAAGTATGATATGTTCCCACCTGTTCTGTTTCCTGACGGTGTAATGGACATGAAAAATGTCTTTGGAAGTACCGCAATTGCCAAGGTAATGTAGTCACTAAAATCATGTACGAGAACTGACTTACCGTTGTTGCTCAGATTCTCAAAGTCGCATTTCATGGACCAAAGTCACTTGAGGGTGGCCGCGCTGGTGGTAAAAGTAATGCAAAAACATGGGATGTCACCATGAATACTCCAGGATCTCTAGCATGGGGAGCAGTTGTGGTGAGTTAAAAGTAGACTATTCTGAGCGGCTGTCATTCTGATCTTGCTATATAGGCTGTTTTCTTAGTTTCTCCTGACGAAGAATTTCCACATGATGGCAAAGGTGCCAAATCAGGTTTAAAGTACTTTGACCTGTTCCGCAACTACAAGAAAATCCTCATTATGAAAGCTGACAAGAAACAAGTCAAAGAGATATACAAAATCTTTGACCGGTACATTTTTTCTTCACGCAAGACTATTCAGGCAGTTATAGCAGGGCAAGAAGATCACTATAACGAAGAAGTTGAACAAGCAATGGCCAAAATGGATATTTCTTCTGACGAAGATGATATTGGAGTAGTAGTGGCAACCGCTGCACCATCTGCCGTGCAGATTAATGTTTTATCTACTGATAACATTTTCTCTCGCAAGCTCGTTGGCACTGATGGAGTTGATATTTTAGAGGAGGAGGCCAGAGATAATATTACCAATGCACCGGTGATGAAAACCAAGAAGGGTCAAAGTGGTAAAGTGAAGTCTGCAGAAGTAGCTACAGGTAGTAATGAAATTGGCACCACTACTACAAAGCGCACTCGTCGTACCAAGTAGCTATTTGATTTCATACTCTAACATGTTTGTTACAAATCAACCTTTGCTGATACTTGTGTGGTGTTGCAATCACTTCGTAAGTACATTACAAGCAGTCCAGCAAAACAATTAGTTATATTGATGTACACTTCTATAGTAATGTCAGCTCTTTGGCGAAGTGGTTATATTGAAAAAAAAACTTGGTTGCAATGGCTCTTGCAAGTGGGGTGACCGCGGGTTCAAATCCCTGTCAGTACAAATACCATACTTACAATTGGAATAAAATATTGCAATTTATTTTGTCTCTTGCAAAGCCAAAAAAATATTGTTTTTCAGATACTCCTAAAGGGGATACAATATTGATTGCAATTGATTACAGGTTTCAGACCCAGTGATTACGATTAGATTGTAGTTGCATTGCAAAGATAAGGGTTTTCCCGATAATCAATTGCAACTGGTGCCGTTGATTGTGGGCTTGCAATCCAGTGCAATACCTTGCAGCCACTTCCAGAAATCTCCGACACAAGTCTGATAACCTAGGTACATTTGGTAGAAAATAAGTAAATATCTCACCTCAGTATTCTGAGGAACAACTGAGGTGGTTACATCGCAACAACTCGATATATGTAGGTGAACGGAAGCATAATTTTTCTGATGGTGGTATATTGGGTGCACGGGCCACCCCATTCTTCTCACTTTCCTTTTACAGACTTCGTCAACGCTTGCCCCGTTATCTGCTGTGTCCAACAACTAGATCATACATAACCTCTAAAAACAAGAATTCAGATTAACTTATTTTGTCTGAGGTACTTATTGCCTTGATCCATCTTAGTTCATCTTAACTGACTATTCAAAATTGTTTAGAGGAAAGTAAGTTTACTGATGGCCCGTAGGGACACTGAAGCAATTGTCGAAGCATTTTTAACTATGTTTACCCAGTTTAGCTAGGATTAAGAGACAGCCACCCGCCAAAATAACAACCTGACATGTACCTGAATCAGTCACACATTTAGAAGACTTTGGGCCCAAACCTACCGAGGCAAATGTTACCCCTTTCCACCAGACATAATAAGGGCCGAGGACCGCACCAGTGATGGGGGTTCCAATGAGGGAAGCCACACCAACGGGAAAAAGGGACACACCCATGCGCCTTCTATACAAGGAGCCTTGATATCAGTAATAGCGACAACAAAGTTACTAATACGCACCCAATGTCAACACCTTTAGGTGACAGAGAAGCGATCACAGGGAGATAGAGCGATATAGCTGCAATGAAAAAAACGAATTCAGTAAGTTTGGGGCTCATTACAACTAATAGCATAGTATATGTGACGCACTGGGACCAAAGAAAAAACCATAGCTAGAATCGGAAAATGAGGAATTGGGCATTGCCCAACTGTCAGACAGAACTTGTAACATGGATATAAAACACAAACAAAATTGAAAACAGTACCACTCCATAAGGCGTGGTACATCCTAATAAAGCAAATCCGACGGCTCCTACGATATTTATATCAATTTAGACTCCAACTTTAATAAGATATACATACCGCAACATAACGTGCAAGGAATGTACACTTCCAAGGCACCAAACCGATCCCCAAGCCAGTTTGGAATTATGCGACCTGGAATGTTCGAAACGTTGATGATAGCAATAGAATAAAATGCGAGTTCGGGTACGATGCCATGTTGCTCCGCGAAAAGCTGTACGTAAAACAAAGGAAACCAAGTTCCTATTGAAGACACGAAACCCATCAAGAGAACTATGATGTAAGAGCGGTCCCACATAAACCTAGTAGCAACTTTCTGTGACACCGGGGGGGAATTGCATTCAACTGAACTGTTATTAGTAGGCTGGGACAGGTTATTTTCACTATCCACTGTGATTCCGCTTTCGGTTTGAAGGTGGCTGGACAAAGGCGTAGGCGCCTTCGGTGGAAGTGAGATGAGGGCATGGCCAAGCACATGGCATCCTAGCGCAATGAAAGCGAGAATGCGTATGGCCCAACCAAAGCTCAGGCGGCCATGGAGCAGGTAATTGAAAGCGACTGGGAAGATAATCAGCGTTACGACACGAATTCATTGTACCATAGAGAGACAGTCACCAGAAAAGACCGCGCCACCTAAAGAACTGCTTGATGATACGAAACCCTCGAACAGTATATGAGTAAGGACGACAGTAAAACCACTTGGCAAACAGGCCAACTTACCATCGCTAAGGCTTTGCTTTGTTTGAAATGTTGAGCGACAACCGCGGATGCAGGAAGAAATATCAATCCTGCACCAACTCCCATCCCAATTCCTTGGGTGAGGAATATTTGATAATATTGGTGAGGCTTAGCCAGAGACAGCATGAAAAAACTAATCATCGTGAACGTAAGCATGATTATGTGGTATCATAATGTATAAGATGCAAGGTTCCAATGAATCTCACCACAACACAAAAAGGCCGGATCCTAAAACCAACACAGAACGAAAATAGCCCCGATCGAACCTACACATAGCAATACAGTCGTTGAGAGATATTTCGCGACATGGACACATATTAGAGATATTTCCTTACATATAACCACTGAATGGGCTAATGGCTAGGTTTAAAAACAGCGCAATACTTCCTATCCAACTGATCGTCGATGAAGATTCGTTTGATAGGTACGTTTGCACGTAGTATGTCTGCGTCGCTCCAAAGGCAGATATCTACACATTGCTCTCCATGAGAACCTGTAAATGTGGACAACACCATACATACTACACCAACTGTACATAATTGCAGGAGGCAGCAACCAACGACTAGGATAAAGACAGTTAGAGCGCACCACAGATGTAGCATGTGAATTTACCAGTACTCCAGGCTCTCAACGGACCAGAGGCATACATACTAGTAGCCATCTCAAGTATCTGCGTAGGGTTAGAAGCAGTCGTCCTGGACCCCAAAGGCGCCAATTCTATGGAACCAGGAAGGGGAGAGTGAGGGCTCGAACTTGAAGCACTGTAGCGCAATAGACAGTTCCTACCTATATTGTGCTGGTCATCCGACTCGAAAGGTGCGGAGAGCGGTGTAAATTGAGGAAGCGAGGGAACCTCCTTGAATGACTCCCCATTCACAGAGACGTGTGATTCTCCATCCGCGGCACTCAGAAATTGACTACTTTGGTGGGGAGACTTCTGCATAGGCAACTTTTACCTGTTCGGTTTGAATAAACCTGCAACGTTGTGCGAGTAGATATAACGAACTGGTAGGCGGCGAACTGTTTGGTTCGACGATGCTAATTTTTAATCTAGCACGCAGCCTGCCTGCATGCCGGAAGCTCAGTGTAACAGCCATGCACGTTTATAAATACATGTTGATATCAATCTCACGCCGGATGATGAGAACTTCGTCGATTCATCACTTCCAGCATCATTGTTCACGCCCTACACTCCCCCAGCCTTCAAGCTTCAGGTTTCGATGCGGTCTTCTTGCACTGGTTCTGTGATAGATTGCAAGGATGACGCCTTGTACTAGAGTCTAGAATGCCCCGCCTTGCTGAGGAATCAACCATTGGATATCTCCGAGGAATTGGAAATGAAAGCCAGGAACGGGGGTAGACGACAGCCTGAGAATATTAGATGACTAGGCCTCGAGACCCGAGTCCCAGATAATGTTACAAGTATATACATTCTTTTACACATTCACTGAATAAGGACTCATCACCTGAAAGTGAGACCAACCGGCAGCTTAAAACAGAATTCCACACCGAGCTACACAACTTCTGCAAGATTCGCTCTTAAATCTCAGATCTCGGTGTCAATAAACTGTTTGCGCTGCTCGATTCGATGTGGCTATAATCGATATCTCCAACGATCACTATCATGATTGTGATGCTGAGACCTACTCCCAAGCGCTGCCTTGTTAACCATCTTCTCAGTCCTCGCAGTTTTATATATATACATAATCCAAGGACTGCCCTTGAGGTTCAGGCAGTTCGTCCATAATATTCGCAACCAAAATCATTATGGCCTTTACATTAAACCGCAATATCACACCTGAAGAATTGCTTGCGGATACTCAAATCATGCGAAATGCCACGTGGACAAGATATCTTAGCCGTAAGTCGCAATACTTATATTTCTGGTATGAAAGAATAATGTGGAAACGTTCAGTCGCAGGCCTTGTCGTCTTATTGTATGATCATACACTGACTTTTGGAATGGAGGTTCAGTTCATGTGGAAGAGTACCCCTAACCAGACAGCCACGAAAATTCTCTTTCTTTGCAACCGGTATTTCGTTCCGGTTGTTTTACTTGTTCTAGCACATTGTGAGGTTTCATGTTACAATATTTGTATCCCCGCTCACTTGCGTCATGGCACAGCAATGTGCGGTTTTCTGCCAGTGGAACACCACTATGATGATAAAGTGAGCTCGCAATTTGATGATCTTTGTGCGGTTATGACTTAGTTAACTTGCGCTGCACTGTAGGGGTATTATCCAGGCTTTTCAGTTAGTTTGTCACTGGGCTTATGCTCTGTTAGATGTGCCATTCTAATGACCATCAGTTCATCTCTTGCAATCATCTCCATGGGGGTAGAGAATTTTCTTATCTTGACCCGAGTGACTGCGCTCTGGGACCACAATAAGGTATGCTTGGGAACAAGTGCAAGTGTAAATGAATTCATAACGACAGTTTGGCTTCAGATGGCGACGCGCTTAATGTTGATCCTCTATACTCTCAGTTATGGTTGTACAGTTATCACGTCGGTGATCACTATCCTTCACATCTCGGGTTCGTAAACAACAACCCTGTCGTGACCTTATTTGATGTCACCTGGCGATGCAGATGGATTTGTATATTCACGGGTCGGTCGCCTGTGCGTTAGCACAAAAACAAGTCCTGAACTAGTTGCCATTTGGATTGCGCCAGTCTGCAAACGATTCTCGCTCTTTTTTTATTTCACTGACGCGTGATTGTAGTTCCTATTTGATATAGCTGTTCTCATTTTCACGGTCTCTAATGCTCTCGCTCGACCTAGGAGGGCCGACATGCAACTTGCAAAAGTACTCAAGTACGATGGCATCGCATTTTTTGTTGTTGGTAGAGGTTTCTTCTTTTAGTTGAAAGATAGCTGACTACCAGTGTACGTAGACAATCTTATCTTTACGATGCCTCAACATCGCTTTCGCCGCTACCTCTGATCCAAACATTGTACTGCTTCCTGCTTTGTACGTGGCTTCGCTTATGTTTTAAACTCGAACTGACCGTGTACCCTTTACTATCCGTGGCAGCACCGTATGGCCTATGATTGCAGTTATCATTAATCGCCTGCTCCTTGATCTGGATCGTGTGGAAGATACAGGGATAATGGCACTTTTGAGCCAACAGTATGAGCTTGGGGGAAGGCACATCAGGGAAAACGGTCACTTGTGATTGTAAGTAATTGTCAAGAATTGTGCCAAATCACTGTTGTGTAAATTCCCTAGCAATTTTCACGGATTACATCTAACGAGTGCGACGTTATACAGAATTACGAGTAAATTTAACGTGATTCTCGCTTGATAGATAGCAGTCTCGTAAACCTTCCGCTATCTATAAGAAAGGGGACGGACAGTGGTCTGAGTTTTGTGGAGTGCTTTCGGAAGCTCACACTGGATGCTTGACCGGCTAATGTCAGCCACAAAATCCTGTATAAATTCTGAAAGTAGCTAAAATTTTTATTAACATTTTGTGCCAATCTGAAAGTTGGTATGATTTATGCTATTGTCATCTTAAAAATCACCAGGAAAAGTCTGATGGTATCTAGAATGGTCATTACACTTATCTCTATTCTTCAGTGACCAAAATAATTTATTACGTTCTCAGAGTTTTGGCACATTCAAAAGAGTAAGAAGATTATTAATCACTACAAAATTATTGTGTGACTAGAAATAAACTACCTAAGTGATATTGTGAAAATGTTGGGATTGCAAGAAATATTGTACATCGATAAACTTTTGCCTAAATTTTTTAATTCACAAATAGGTGGTGGAGTATAAGGTTTTTCAAATGAGTAACTTTATGTATAATTATTATGTTAGTATCCCGAATTATAAATACTATCACAATTTGACTTATTTTCTGAAAGACTCAATATATTATGTTTTTTTTCATATTATGCACTTTATTTGTCAGACCCAAAACTTGCAAATAAGTAAATATTTAGTACAGCATTAAAAAAATTATTTCTTACCACAAAAATTGAGCATTATTTAAGATATATTAATCAGAAATAAATTTATCATTTTTTCAGTGTTTAGTACCTTGAACAATGTAAAACAAATATAATGTTACACATTAAAATAAACTTAAAATAATGTTAACATTTTGTTGATAGAGCCATAAGCATCTCTGCAAAATATAAGTTAAAGACTGTAACCACCAAGATAAACTCTGGCACACACAGGAACAACACTATAAAGAAGATGAAGATGGGGAGTGGTTACCTTTTAAGTTGCAGTGAGTTAGTTGGTATACAACAGGAGGACTCGCTCAGGAGTCTCCTGGATCTATTGGGGTATATATACTACTCTAGGTTTGTTTGTATATATGTACTATACAGTTAATGGAGGCAGTGGCTGATGATGTCATAGAGCCTAGCTCGTATGGCCAGCTCCACTGCGTGAGAGAGTTGAATCTAAAATAAGAGAAAAGACAATGCGGCGCGAGAAAGAGGAGTTTGAACAAAAGGGGAAATGCCGCGTGGCACCATGTGTGAAAGCTAAAGTTTAAGTTTGAAGTGGAGAATGAAAAGAAAGGAAATGTCCGGAAATTGTGTTATCGTAACAAAAGACCTTGGGTGCAGTGAAAACAGTAGATATCATCATGTGCAAGTGGAAAGATGTGAGACAAATTATTTAAGGGAGAAAAGGCCATGCTCACTAGCTTAAAACCAAATACAGTGATGCTGCCTTCTTAGGGACATATATGTTCTGTGTGTCTCAGGCTGTTGTCATTGACCTAGCCTCTGAATTGATCCCTGAACCTATGAATTCAACCAGTGAATATAATGCAGAGAGAAGTGGACTTAACAAAGTGGACAATGAAGGGGCTAGGGTTGATGAGGATAATATTGAGATAGTGCCACTAGGGATCATAACCTCTCAGCCCAAATGTATATGGACAAAAGAAGATAAAGAGGTGTTGGTCAAACTGGCCTTTGCTAAGAAAGATGAGGGAGAAAAGGGCTCCTTCAAGCCCTCATTTTTTAGTGCAGCTGTAGCAGTGATGGGGGTGATGAGGAAACTGTGAAAATAGATGCTGATGAGGAGGATAAACAAGTCAATAAAGACAATGAAGATAAACTGGCTGGGAAGCCTGAAGACTGAGCTGCAATACCTTCAGCTACCGGGCCTCATTCTAGCACCATCACTATCATGTCCACACCAATCAAACCTGCTTCTTCTAGCAACTGCAGTTCCACCACTTTTGTAACTCCCGTAACAACCAAATATCCTATGGGATACCCAGCTCCCACACCTATTTCAGCCATATCTATCTCATCCACACCCTCTTGCAAAACAGTATGCTCATCTGGAGCAATTGCTGTCAATGGAGTGAAAGATCAGCTCCAGGTGATCAATGAGTGCCAAGAAAGATGAGACAATATCCAGGAAATCTTCAACAACCAGCTGCTCACAAGCTTGGAGGGAATGGCTTCTGCTGCAACAGTAGGAAGCTCTCCATCAATCAGGACCTACCCACATACTTCTTGCCACTTTTGCACAGAGAGGGTTTCCATGAAATCTTGCAGCTTCATCTGGGGCCACATTAGTTAATGTACTATAGATGTCAATGGGGGGGGGCCTCATCAGAAGAAAGGAGGTCCACTGCATTTGCTGTCAAAATGATATCTCCTTCATCCGGTTGCTAGCGCTGACATTAGCCGGTCAAGCATCCAGTGTCATGCTGTGCTCTCAAAAGTGTTGATGATGTGGCTATTAACACTGAAGGCAAGAAAAGGCCTTTTATTTAGAGCAGACCTTAATTAGCAAGCTATATTGACTGTCATATTACTTGAATTAGGTCAGCAACTGGAGACTAGCTTTCTTTCAGATTTTTTCTTGCTAGCTAGTCTTTTATAGATTTATTAGACTCATATGTAAATAATATCAAGGCTAAAAGTGTTGCTCAATATGTGTATTCAATACTTGTTGCTGACTTTGATTTTTGACTGTGGCTTAAGTATTGTGGCAGTAAATCTCTCGTGTGCATGCTTGCAACTAAGCTTGCATGTTATCTTGAGACAGCTGTTCTGCTCGAAAAGCCTCATTCTTTTTTGTCACCAATGCGAGAATATGAATTTCAAGAATTATTTTATATTATGCATTTCAAGTCAGGCTCTCAGCAAGTCAGTAAGACCATGCACTACTATAGTACCAGTAAATGTCTAGCTCACACTTTTAATTAGTGAGGTAACAAGATATCCAGCCTGCTAAGTATCTGGGCCATTAAACCATTATCATAATGAGATACCATGACATGGTAAAATACTAGGGAGTAGTAATTAAACTATACTTCTACTGCTGACTTGAGCCCATAAATTCTGGGTAAAAGCAATCAGTTTAGTCACGTGAACAATGGTCAGAACAGTCAATTGGTCAATTGGTTGATGTCAGAACTGTGACATTTTGGAGTGTTGGAGTTATGGAGTACAGAGATGGAGTAGGGGGGGGGGAGGTAATGGAGTACAAGATTGGGAGTTGGCTTAGCTTGTGCACTAGGCCCTTCTGCAGACCTTGGTCCCTAACTCGTTGGGACGGACGGAGGAGAGTAGAGGATGAAAAGGGAGCAGAGTAAAGATCCTTTGGAGAAGGACCGGAAAGACTTAGAAAGGAACTTGTAAAAAGGCGAGGGAATCTAGTTGATATTTGAACTGCAGGAACGGAGTATAGGAGCTACAACTTATATACTGTTGGAGGAGTAGGAGCTTGTAAGAAGTAACTTGTAATATAGGTACAAAGTTCCATGCGGACAATTATCTTGGAAGTAGTTAACATATTTGATTATATTTTGGACCTCCAAGATTTTGTGAGAATAATGTATTTTGGTTGACATATTCCCATAGATACTATGTTTTGTGTGGCAAAATAGAAATATGTTAACAAAAATACATTATTCTCACAAAATCTTGTAGGTCCAAATTAAACACAAACATTTTAACTATATTCAGGCTTTTTGATCAATTTTGGGTGTGACAAAAGTCAGTTATGCTTGCTGTGTGTGTATTGCACAAGTATTAAAAATAGTGTGAATGCAGAAAAAAGTATGGAAATGCAGAACAAAGTAAGGAAAAGAGCAAAAATCACGGAAAAAAAACTTCAAGAAACCACTACTGCTTGCTCCATGTTGGAAATACAGTAAACCCTCAACTACTTTTTCCTTTGTACTCCTTAACCAAATCTGGCATGGGGGGACTCAATGTGAGGGATTCATAAAGCCAAAACAAGACTGGGCTGTTTGGATGTGGAGGGGTTATTTGTTTGACTAGAATAGCTGCAAATGCCTGATATTCCATCTCAAGATCAGCACCATTTCCACACTCAATTATGACCTTCTCATATATTTCACAAGTGGCCGAGAAGAAAACCCAAGGATGAAAGTGAGTGCCATTTATGTAAATGCCTTGAGGCTGTGGCCAGGGTGGAAGCGTGTCTGGGAAATTTTTTCTGAAAGGAACACTGTCAGAACAGAATAGTTTCTTGTGGTTTCCTGAAAAGCCTGTTGTTCCTGGGTACTTGATAATGTGACAACAGCTACATATTTGATGTAACAACCAAGAGTTTGTATACTCTGGCATACAAATTGTGACAACACCCACAAGACACAGTCTTGGGGCACTAGAGCACAACAAAAACAACACTCAGAAGAAAAGGAAGAGGTGGGAGTGGTTACCCATTTGGTAGGAACAAGTTAGTTGTAGACAATAGGAGGACTCGCTGAGTCCTTCCCCATGTATTGCTCCTGTATATATACTAAAATACATGAGGTACTTGTAAGGACTATTTTATTATTTTCTTATCTTAGCTATGTCTTGGTTCTCAAACACTTTTCCCATTACACCTTTGGCTCTAGAGCTAGAGGTATTGTTTGCCGTTCTACTTCTCATAGCCCTCACAGGCATTCTTAATCATCGCTACCATTTTATATCACAGATCAGAGACTGGGTATCGCTCCCAGCCAGCCAGCACACTGGGTAGGGACTGGTAGTAGGCATCTCGCCAACCAGCTCCAAGCCCTAGTAAAGCCTGGTTATACTAATAACACCTTATTTAGGATCATACCTCATCATGAGGATACAGTTCCTGAACACGCGTGACAATCCTCTATTATTAGTACAAGTCTCTCACCTGCTGATTAATCAAGTTAAAAGTCGTACAATAGTTACTCCCCTTTTTCTTATTGGTCAATTAATTCCTCAGACCACTTTTTGCATATTCTCCTTTCGGTCTGAGGAACGAACAGTTCACTATATAAAGCCTTAGCTATTCATGTATGGCTCTTTAGTTTTCTATTACTGAATTTACCCGCTTTACTCCTCAACAAGAACCTTTGAAGCTTACCTCTCAAAGTCCTCTACTTGCTATATTTACTAGCGTCTGTCGACTTCAAGCTCATCAAACCCCTTACTCCCTGCAAGTGCACAAGGAGACAGGTTTTGTTTTTGTTATAGTTTATCGTTGCCTCACAGTACTGTATAGTTGTAAATAAAGTTTAAAGTCCAATGTTTAGCATATGACCAGTCACATGGTGAGCCTAGACACTGGTCAGGTGATGTGTCACATGACTGGTCATGTGACTTGTAAAAAGTAAAAGTAAAGGTACAAAAAAGTGAAGCGTAAGTAGGTACTGGTACGTCAATTGTAACACAACTCAGACAAGCAGTAGTGAAGTGAGTGGGAGTGGTTACCCCTTAAGATAGGACCGAGTTAGTTGTGGGTAAACAATAAAAGGACTTGCTAAGGAATCTCCTGAATCTATTGGGTATTTATACTACTACAGGTTATTTGTACATATGTACTATACAGTTGATGGAAACAGTGGCTGATAATGTTATTGGGCACAGCCCGTGTGACCAGCTTCACTGTGTGAGAGATTTGTAGCTAAGAAGAAAAAAAAGCAGTGTAGCACAAGAAAGTGGAGTTTGAACAAAATGGAAAGTGCCGCATGGCATAGTGTGTAAAAACTACAGAAGAAAGTCAAAGTGGAGGATGAGATTTAAAGGTCCAAAAATTATGTAAAATGATGCTCTTTAAATTTGGCCTCTGCCTTTGCAGCATCAAAGTACTGGAGAATTTCGTCTTTGAGACTGTTTCATGAGGGCATAATGAAGTGTTTTATTCCTTCAATGATTTTGCAAACATATGTGGAGCAGTTTTGGAGAATGCTTGAGCATTTTTCATTGTCAGCAGTGACATTGTTTGCATGACAGATGCACTCATAGTGGAGAACCCTGACACAAGTATAGTCTCCCTTACACTTCTTAGGAGTATAACCAGTGCCAGGAATTGGCATAGTGATGACTGAGAGAGTAGTAGGTTGATTTATAGTGGAAAATATAGGGGGTAAACGCAAAGCTGGTACAGAAATTGAGTTACTGGAAGAGAGAGATGGGACAGATAAAGTGGTGGGTGAGATAGAAGGTGTGGATGATAAATTACACAATGATTGCTATGAAATGGTTGGAATTTAGCTTGAAGGAAACCACCCCTTGCGGTGGGCTTTAATTGTTGATGATGAGAACTGTTGTTAGGAAACCACACACAAAAACAAACTAACACACAATCCTCCCAGGTTTTACGGAACTTGTGTATGGGCTTTGCCTCCTAGAACAGTGGGGTGGTCTGGTTGTTTGTGAGGTGATACATATGATGATTCTTCAAAGTAAAACCCAGGGATGTATGGGTGTGGGTTTTGAGGAGGAGGAATAGTTGGAATATAGAAGATAGGGGCTTTGTGGCAAGTATAGAGCAGGCTCCTGATGCACAAACTGTAATGCTCAGAAGGACTCTAATTAAAAGGGATGGTAATAATTTCAAAAGTAGAGAGTGACAATGACAGCAGATAACAGTAGTAGCAGTGGAAAGTGTTGTGACCACACTGGCAAGTTGGTTCATTCCCCTGGGTGTTTTGTATACATTGTTGTGAACTGGAGCCTTAGGATGGGTTTCTTCACTCATTGTTGTTTTTGTTTGCAGTCAATCCTGGCACTTAGGATTGGTACATTGACACTCCAGCACTGCAGTTGCCGGCTTACTAATTACAAAAGAGGCGTGGTAAATTCTTATCACCAAATGTTGGCACTAAATGTCTTAGCAACGGTATAGCCTCACCAATAACAACAGACCTTCCTTCGGAAGAAACGGCTTTCTTTCTCCAATCAGGTCTGTCTATGGGAGACTAGATGCACTCGTCCTAAGACGAAAGTCTCCAGACATTTTGGGAACCTCTCAGCGCGGCTTATCCCGTGCCTTCAATGTCTGGTTTGAGATTAGAAATATTGCTAAATAGGTCTGCGCATGATTAGGACCCCTGAATATCCCTATAAAACCCTGATTTTTCAGGAGCCATTTCTGTACAGACAGACTTTGGAAAAATCGGGCATTAAATGTCCGGATCGCCCGCAAGGTTCCAATTTCATGAAAATTTGTCCGGATAGATACACAAGGATGGGTATGTTTGAAATTTTGGGCCAAATCGGTCAAATTGTCCAGATGCACTAACAGGGGATGGGTAGACAACAAGGATGGGTATGTTTGAAATTTTGGGCCAAATCGGTCAAATGGTCCAGATGCACTAACAGGGGATGGGTAGACAAAGTGTAGAGTTGAACCTTGAACCTTGACTACAGCTGCTTTGTAATTACAGCGGGCAGCCTCCTTGACCCCATACAATATTATATATATGATCTATATTGTTAAATTAAACCTCGTCCTGAGTGTCCGAACAAACTGCCTCCTGCCCTGCCTTGTTTTTACCTCGCTGTCGAAAGAGTTTCATGGCTTGATCGAGTTTTTCTACCTGTCGAGAAAACATGTGAAACAACTTGAAATCTTTGTTGCTGATATCAATGTTATTTCCTCTGGACTTCACCGGTTGAGCTAGAAGGCATAGGAATGATGTTGAAGGGAGAATAGTGAATTGGTAAGTTTGATATGCGGCTGTTGCTTCTGGAATTGGGGGAAAATGATTGAGGAAGCGTTGCTGAAAGGTCTGCACAACCACATAAGAGATTGGATTGCTGATATATTTTTGACGCTTGTGACAGCTGCATGTCTCCCGGTTTTCCCACCAGATTTACAGCTCAGAGTGATAACTGAAATGTGTTAAAATCTCAGCATAATTAGTTCAAACGGTCTCTCGTGAGTCGATGAGTTGAAACACCAATTTCAAAAATTTAGATCAGCACCACAGCAAAATGCATCCTACATCAAAAGTAAAAACGGGCCATTCACATGATTTGAACCATCAACATCTAGCCTCGCAAGCCCATCAACCACTACCGCTTCGCTAAACAGGCTACTGAAGCTTTCGTCATTAGCTATCTTGACTGAGGTCATCCTAGTATGTCCGGATTGGTATACAATGTTTGTCAGAAAGGTATGACCGGTGTCCGGGCTCCCAAACAAGGTGTTTCGTAATTTTGGGGGTTTTTGTCCGGATTCTCAGCAAGGTTTTATCGAGTTTTTGCCAATTTTTGTCCGGATGGCTCATCAGGGATATTCAGGGGTCCTGCACGATTGCAAATTGAGAAATCAGGTACTCAGTTGGAAGCTGGATCCGAGTCCATGGTTATATTTGAAAAAAAAGTTGGACCTGATGATGGAGCTGAGTTTGCATGTACTGGTTACGTCAGAGATACTCCTGCCGTGTAGGTTTCGTTGTGCGGGCCCCGAATTTGGCACTCATCAGGACAACATACAACAGATTCATCAAACACCGTCAGACAAGCTCGAGGCGTCTGATGAATCATCGACCATCCTCTGCGGTGGGTATACAATGAAACACGTCATGATGTCATAGTTGATACGGCGTATCACGACAAACAGATCAGAATCGACACCAAACGAAACAGTCTGATGAACAACATTGCTCTGGGAATACCTATAGCACTAGTATGTAGGACTTGAGCGGTTACTGATTATCATTGTTGTGGCTATTCATAACGCAGCCCATTTTAAAGTTAGCGGTTTTTGGAAGGTTCTGGTTATCATCCGCTCGTGGTCTCGATTTTTCTCAACAGGCGTAGAGGAATTTTACCATGAGTCCTTCAGTAGCTGCATCACTGATGCGCGGAATTCAGCTAGGCGCGATTTTTGCTATGGCGTAGGTTCAGGAAATAACAATCACTGTGCATTTTTGACATAAACAAATTCTACTTTCAGGTTGTATGGTGTAACGTGTATGCAAGCATTTATATATTACAAGAACTACCCTCAAGATAGGTGGGGCCTCAAATTAACTGTTAGGACTTTCATTTTTACCTTGATTTTTCTGCCTGAGTACTTAACAACCACAGGTTGCAATTATATGGTTATAGTCCTGCTACCTACGTGATCTCTCTACTTACCATCACCATCATCTAGGATCTTGGAGACAATTCATGCGGCACTGGTCATTGCCACCTTGGACCACTACCTTATCGCAAATTTCTCTGAAGTGGGAGTTATGCTCGCTATCGATTGGTAAATGTATCCCAGTCAGAGCTGCTTTAAATCACCTGATAAAATATCGTCCGTTCTCGACAGGACTATATTTGTGAGTTGAAATTGTACTTTTAAGAGCTTAGCGTTTAGAATGAATATGCCTCATAGATGACCTTTATAATTGGCGTAAGTGCTTCACATGCGGATTTGCACTGATGTGGCAATTGATCTGTTTTTAGTTCTTCATCGTCTTCCTTGTTAACTTGTAAGGTTGAAAACCGCAGAAAGCTACGGTGCTAATCACTCTATTCTATTCTTCAAGGTATTACACTTGGCGAATCGGGATGCGTAAGATAATAAATGTGCATAAAAAGACTGTTGCTTACGCTCTTGTGATATTACATTTTTTTAGTTTACAAGGGACGGTACATCATAATTGTGCTAGTATGTACATCTCACTATCTGCTTCTCTTCTCTGTTGATGGTGTACATAGATCGTATTGGCCGTCGTTCGTCTAGGTAAGTAAATATACCTGTAAATATCACTAAGCTCATTCTTTTTTTACGGAAGGTCTTTCTTTAGTATGCTGTGCATATACGTGAGTTTTGGGGTATAAACATCGTCATGCAATCACGCTTATCTATTTCTGCAGCAGAATATATAAGGACTCGTGGTTGTCTTGGGGGCAAGAGACAAAAGCAAGCATGTTCAACTAGTTTGCATACTTTATAACAACCTTTGTGACAGATTATAATCTGCTTTTCCCTTGCACTGGCTATTCTGACTGATACCGTAATCACTACCACTCTTGTGTTTTTGCTACGTAAAGCACGCCCAACTTCGCATTTACATCGGTGTGCACTTTCCTAATTCTATTTATGGCAGACTTGAATTTTTGGTCGTGCTGCAGGACAAAACGTGTAGTCGATGGTTTGCTTCTTTATGCCATTAGTGTTGGCACATTGACAATGTAAGTAACGTTCTGGTTCGATTTCTTTTGAATGCATCCGAGCCTGTAGTGGTTATGTCCTAGTGTGGTTAGTTTCCTTGAGCTTGTAGTGGTACGTCGTTAATATTGCAGAGTGAGTCCGTCGTCCTGGCTGATATTTATTATTTCCAGTTCCTCTTAGCACCGGGTACCCTTTATGTCCTGGGAATACTCTTGATTCAAATGAAACGTACGTGTATTGGCTCTCGCTCTGATATCTACATATTGCTCATCTATTATGTAATAGTTTATGCCAACTGCTTTTTAGCGAGGTACCTCCTTATAAAGCACTCACTATTTGAAACTGATATGGACTACGACTAGCTTAAACATTAGACACTACCAGGCCAGCCATCTCGCACCCCATCCTTTACAAAGCCAATTCACTGGGAGTGATGAACCTCACGGCTCTCCTGCAAGGACAATTAAAATTGCTGTCTTATCAGGTAAGCGGTAAGCGGGCACAGATCTATGGTAGCACCAATTTTACATCTTCTAATACTTATACAGGGGGACAGGTTAATGAAGCAGGCAAGGTGTCCCGAAATGTTGTTGAATCTTCTATGCTGCATTAATGAACAGTCATATGAAAATACTTTATGTGGAGGATTCTGTCCATAGCCTTTAGTATAAGTGACAATTAACTTAGTTGCGTTTCTAAGTTTGATTGTGTAGGAACTAGGCAGAGTCAGATTCTACAGTATGTACAGTAATGGTGCCCAAACCTTGCCTAGCGCTTTCCTTAAGGTTCGCTTAGGGCGCTCCTTAAGTGAGCGTTAAGGAAAAAGACGCGACGGCATTCATCTTGTCGGAGGTTGAAGGCACGGCACATGCGGCTGAGGCGTGTTATGCAGCTGATGGAGCGTGTTATGCAGCCTCCCATCATCACTCGCCGTCCACTGATTCTCGATGATCTCCCTATCCATGGCCCCACGAAGCTAGAAAACTCACCCTCCCAATTTGTCTCAGAGAGCCTCGCTCACCCCCTCCGCAGATTTGAGCCAGCAGACAGAAGGCACCCGGCAGCTTGAGGTTCAGTGGGAAAAAGAGCCAGCCCAAACTCAGAGGCTCATTGACTACTTGATTACGTACGAAAAGCACTGTGCTGCTTTATTTTCAGATTCCACCAAGGAGGCAAAGTCCCATGGTCGCCGCAAAGTTGTTAACAAGAGTAGTAATATAACTATGTGAAACTCAGTGTTACAATAACACAATTTCCGGACATTTCCTTCTCTTTCATTCTCCGCTTTAACTTTGTACTTTAGCTTTCTCACATCGTGCCACACGGCATTTCCCCTTTTGTTCTAACTCCTCTTTCTCGCACCGCGTTGCCTTCTCTCTTATTTTAGATTCAACTCTCTCATGCAGTGGAGCTGGCCATATGGGCTAGGCCCTATGATATCATCAGCCACTGCCTCTATCAACTGTATAGTACATATGTACAAACAAACCTGTAGTAGTATTTATACCCCAATAGATCCAGGAGACTCCTTAGCGAGTCCTCCTGTTGTATACCAACTGGCTCACTGCAGCCTAAGGGGTAACCACTCCCCAACTTCATCATCTTTATAGTGTGTTCTGTGTGCACCGGAGTAACTAACTCTTGGTTGTTACACTCAGCCGCTTCCCAAGATGCTATAGAAACAACTTTATTATTTACCTATGTGAAACTACAATGGATGTTAGTTTAAGGTGATCTTTAATAAATGTAATGTAACATACCTCAGCCGCTGCCCAAGAGGCTATAGAAACAACTGAGGTATTTCTATACTAAACCCCCTACTACTTATAGTCGGAGGTGCTACTTGCTACAGTATAATGACTCCTAGGAATACAATTGTGCTCCTAGGAGAACAATGGTGACTCCATGGAGTGGTGGCTATGTTCCATGGAGAACAATGGCTGCTTTTGCAGAGACCGGGTTTATGCAGTTTTGTCACTCCTTAGCAGTTGCAGTGATCATGCTTTTATAACAACAATGGGGTTTGATACTCACTCATTTGATGTCATCCTTGCTGCAGGTTTTGAGAAGATATGGTATGAAAGGCCCATTGTGCGTTTTGATACCATTGGAGGAGGAAAATCACGACCTGGAGGTTGTTCTTTGGATGCTGCTGGAGCAACTTTGTGACTGTGGACAGATCATCAATTACTCGGACATGTGTCCAAATGCAGACAAAAAATAATATATTAAATTCTATAAAATGTAACAACCAAGAGTTATTTACTCTGGTGCACACAGAAACACACTTTAAAGAAGATGATGGGGAGTGGTTACCCCTTAGGCTGCAGTGAGTTAGTTGTGCTAGACAACAGGAGGACTTGCTGACTCCTTCCCCATGTATTGCTCTTGTATATATACTAAAATACATGAGGTGTAATAACCAAAAGTTAGTTACTCCGGCGCACACAGGAACACACTATAGAGAAGATGAAGAGGGAGTGGTTACCCCTTAGAATGCAGAGAGTTAGTTGGTATACAACAGGAGGACTTGCTGAGGAGTCTCCTGGATCTATTGGGGTATATATACTACTACAGGGTTATTTGTACATATATACTATACAGTTAATAGCGGCAGTGGCTGATGATGTCATGGGGCCTAGCCCGCATGGCCAGCTCCACTGTGTGAGAGAGTTATGTTCAAAATAAGAAGAAAGGCAACGCGGCACAAGAAAGGGGAAGTGCCGTGTGGCACCATATGTGAAAGCTATAGTACAAGGTTAAAGCAGAGAATAAAAGTAAAGGGAAGGTCCAAAAATTGTGATATCGTAACATGAGGTACTGTACAGTTGTAAATAAAGTTCAAAGTCCGATGTCTAGCATGTGACCGGTCACATGATGAGTCTAGACACTGGTCAGGTGATATGTCACATGACTGGTTATGTGACTATGAAAAGTTGAAAATGTAAAGTAAAGTAAATGGTCACATGACCAGACTTGGAAAATAAAAGTAGAAGTACAAAAGTGAAGCGTAAGTAGGTGCTGGTATGTCAATTGTTACATAAAATCTAAAAAGGGGGTAGGTACCCTCCTTCTAGGTGTGCCATTTAATGACATTTATTCATGGGGTCAAAATAATGGGCCATTACAAAAGGCACCCAAGAGGGATGCCGGATCTTGGCCATCACTGTTTATTACTTGTGTTTACTCTATTCAGCTGTATGCCAGCTCACACCAGTGATAGCAGGAAAAGTGGAAAAGTATTAACAATTTTCTATGGTTTTATTTCTGCATCTAAAACCCGTGGTACTACTTGTTTATCTCTATTATGTGGAGAGGCATCCCACGGACTCTTCAGTTTGCTGATGACCCACAGCTGAGGGTATAATGGTCCTCAAACCTCACCTAGCGCTTTCCTTAAGGTTCGCTTAGGGCGCTCCTTAAGTGAGTGTTAAGGAAAAAGATGCTGAGGTATTGAGCAGCAATACTGTAGACTTTAAAGCCAGTAGATACAAAATAGTTGTGAAGAAAAATGAGCCAGCCACAGTCATGTTGGGCAGATATTGAGATTAGTAAGCTGCCACTTTGGGTAGTTGAGTAAGTTCGAGCAAAGATAGCATGCTCTAGGTTCAATAATGACTTAATAGAAGCACAGAAACACCCCAGGCCCATATATAAGGACAGGACCTTGAGAAATTTTTGTCTCAGCCATGCCTAGAGTCTCTGAACAAGCTTAGCTTCTTTCTGCTTTGCAGAATGCCAAGCAACGTGCTTTGGATATCTTTATTCAGCGTAAAATTGCTGAATTGATTTCTGAAGTAGAATTGCACCCTGAGGGGGAGGGGGGGAGGCATTGCTTGATGAGGATTCTGATTCCTCCCACTCTTCTTCCTCTTCTTTATCTTCTGGTACGGACAATATCATCTTAGCTCATACCGCCAATCTGTTTGCCATTGAAGATGACATCCTTTCTACTCGTGTTCTCACCTATTGTCCTTTGGCCCCTTATGTTTCTGTATTTCAATATCTCCATGAATGGGCTGACAATGACTGTCCTATCTTTTGCCGTCTGATGCGTACCTCCCCCTCTACTTTTTTTGAGATTGTGAAGAGGCTGAAAGATGACCCAAGCTTTCATAATAATTCTAATAACCCACAGGCTCCTGCTGAGCAGCAAATTGCATGTGCATGTTCTGTTTTGGACACTATGGCAATGCAGCCTCTATTGAGGATACTGCTACATTAGCAGGAGTTTCTACTGGGTCTATTGTGAACTATACAGAGCGAGTCATAATAGCCATTCTCAATAGGCATAATCTGTATATCAAGTTTCCCCAGGATGGAGATGCTGATAAGAAGAAAGCAAAAGAGTGGGTGAGGAGCAGGACCACTAGGGCATGAGAAGGAGGATGGTTATGTGCTGATGGTTTGGGCTTTAACCTTTACCAGAAGCCTGGCTTCCATGGGGAAGGGTATTTTGACAGGAAATCAAGGTGAATGCTGACAAGGTAGAGCCAGATGGACCTGGGGGGAAGGATGAAAAGCCGGTGGTATCAGAATCTGAGCCAGCACTAGACTGGTAAAATGACTGCCATCCCCCCTCCTGTAAAGCAGGGGAGACGGCATACAGGGAGGCTTGAGGTGAATGTGAGGATGAGAAGAATGGGGGGGAGGTGCTGTGTCCTTGAGGGGGCTAAATGTTGGGCTGCCAGCACGGCTCACACCCCTAGTCCTGAACACAGACCCAACACTGTGTGGTTCTGAGTCCTCCTCGAGGCTTGGCGTATCAAGCAAGGAGTTATCTGTTACAGAAGGAGGGGGGATCCGGTTTAGCAGTTATTGTAGAGTTGTGCCAGCAGGGCTGCGCACATATCCTGGATGCGCCTCCAGGGCAGCATGTAGATGCTGCATAGACTGCAGCACATTCTGGCCAAGAGCAGACGCTGCAGGGTCTGTACAAGTTGATGCTGGAGGAGGGTCTGTATGAGGAGGTGGTAGTGAAGGAGGGGTGACGGCTGGTGATGGCTGATGAGTTGGGGCCTCAGCTAGCAACGGCTGATGATTGGGAGAGATATCTTTAGATCGGCCAGATCTAGAGAAAAGATTGGAGGCCTCCTTGCCATGGTCATAACCTGGGGATGATGAGATGGCCAGTATGTTGATGGAGGGTATCTCCCTCCACCAGCCGTGCAGATCCTCACCGCTATGCATGCTGCACTGGGCAATGCCCCAGCCAAAGGTTCGAACATATTTCATGTTCCCAAAGTCCCCAAGCAACCTAAGGTTACAAAAGCATCCAAGCAGCAGCCTCGCACGTCTTAGAGCACTCTTCCTGCCACAGCACCCCCAACTCCACCTCCTAACACCGCCACCCCCAGCAAGATTCTGTCTCCAGCTCCTGTTGTGGCTGCTCCCAACAAGATTAATTCTAGCATGTCTGGGGTCACTAGTCCCACCACCATTAGCTCTGATGTACCCCATAATGTGAACCACTAGCTCGGTGGTCTCCCATCTCCAACCTCTGTTCACGCCCCTCCCGGCTCATCTGTCACATCCCTCACGAGCAAGCGCTCTGCCCGGGATGCCGTGACAAAACTGGATAAACCCGGTCTCTGCCAAAGCAGCCATTGTTCTCCTAGGAGTACAATTATTATACTGTAGCAAGTAGCACCTCCGACTATATGTAGTAGGGGGTTTAGTATAGGAATACCTCAGTTGTTTCTATAGCCTCTTGGGCAGCGGCTGAGGTACGTTACATTATATTTATTAGAGATCACCTTAAACTAACATCTATTGTAGTTTCACTGAGGTAAATAATAAAGTCATTTCTATAGCCTCTTGAGCAGCGGCTGAGTTTCACTTAGTTTTATTATGCCGCGCTCTTGGACAATGATGGTGATGATGGCGTTACCATCATATCTCGCAGCAAGAGTGCAGGTAACCATAGTAGGGGCTCAAACAAGGCTCCACGCAATACCGCCGCCAATGCAATTAACGGTTTGAATGATCAATTGGCGGAAATCATCCCCATAATGAAAGACTTCAACTCCAAGCTCAAAATTGGCATTCCCCCAACTGCCTCCCTGCCTAACGCCCCCGCCCAAACACCTATCGTTGAGAAGAGCCCCACCTTGTCCACCATCGCCTCTTCCACCATAGCCCCTTCCACCGTTGCCCATTCCACTACCTCCCAACCTTCCGCTTCTGCATTTAACATTCCTCAAGGCCACATGTCTGGTCAACCGGACAATGTCCGTTGCGGATCTGCCATTACCTTTATGTTGCAGAATGATCCCTACCGGGGAGTGGATAGCTCCATCCGGTTAATCCACCTTTTTGAGCAAGATATGGTAGCCGTCAACACATACCTGAGGCTCCTGGAGTCCAACGAGTTTTGCAGAACGGGTTTTGCAGGGCGTACGTGAGGGCTAAGCTGAAGTAGATGATAGATGAAAGAGATATGGATGGGTGTAGCTTACTGTATTGCTGATCGGACATTACATTGTGTATCTTGTGTGTCTTTGTGTTGTTAGTTTCAATATATGCAGTCTCTGAACAACCTAACCTGGTGCTTTATTTAAGAAAATACAGGATCAATGTGTATATACTAAAGTAGGCCCCTCCTACCCAACTCTTGCTGATAGTTAATCCACATGGCACGAGCGATCTGATCTCGTCGGGCGTTTGCTGCGACACAACCGGCCTCCGTTGGTATTAAGAACAAAGCTTGAAGGAAGTGTCTAGCCACTTGCTGAGAGCAATCAGGGACTGGAACTAGAGTCCAATGTGAGTAAATGTATTATTAGAGAGTATGACAGGTATACAGTACCTAGAGTCCAATGTGAGTAACTAGAGAATAGGAAGCATTGGACTCTGCAGTACTGTGGGAAGTTTTGTAAACAAAGGTAAACAAAGCAGCCACAAAAGCGAAATAATAGAGAACACAATCAATAGTGAATGATAGAAGAATAGATAGAGATAGGAATGAAAATATATAGGTAGCACAAAGGTGCAGAATCACCAAAACTAACACAACAACCCTGTTGTGACCTTATTTGATGTCAGCTGGCGATGCAGATGGATTTGTATATTCACGGGTCGGCCGCCTGTGCGTTAGCACAAAAACAAGTCCTGAACTAGTTGCCATTTGGATTGCGCCAGTCTGCAAACGATTCTCGCTCGACCTAGGAGGGCCAACATGCAACTTGCAAAAATACTCAAGTACGATGGCATCGCATTTTTTGTTGTTGATAGAGGTTTCTTCTTTTAGTTGAAAGATAGCTGACTACCAGTGTACGTAGACAATCTTATCTTTACAATGCCTCAATATCACTTTCACCGCTACCTCTGATCCAAACATTGTACTGCTTCCTGCTTTGTACATGGCTTTGCTTATGCTTTAAACTTGAACTGACCGTGTACCCTTTATTATCCGTGGCAGCACTGTATGGCTTATGATTGCAGTTATCATGAATTGCCTGCTCCTTGATCTGGATCATGTGGAAGATACAGGGATAATGGCACTTTTGAGCCAACAGTATGAGCTTGGGGGAAGGCACATCAGGGAAAACGGTCACTTGTGATTGTAAGTAATTGTCAAGAATTGTGCCAAATCACTGTTGTGTAAATTCCCTAGCAATTTTCACGGATTACATCTAATGAGTGCAACATTATACAGAATTACGAGTAAATTTAGGGGACCAATATTGTGGAGGAGCTTCTCATAGCCTTAATGGGTTTTCTCAACCATCAATACCGTTTCATATCACAGATCAGAGACTGGGTAGCACTCCCAGCCAGCCAGTACAATGGGTAAGGACTAGTAGCTGAGATCTTGCCAACCAGCTCCAAGTCCCATCAGTGCCTGGATATATTAATAAACACTTTAGTCAGGATCATACCTCATCATGAGGATACAGTTCCTAAACATGTGTGACACTACCTATTATTAGTATATTTTATCACCTGTTGATTAATTTTTGAAGTTGTATGATAGTTGTTCTTTTTTTTATTGGTCAATTTCATCCTCAGACCACCTTTCTATTGTTCCTTTTTTGGTCTGAGAGATAGACAATTAGCCATAAAAACCCTACCTATTAGTGTATAGTTATTTAGCTTTTTGTTACTTGAACAACCTGCTTTACTCCTTATCAAAACCCTTGAGTTTACTCTCAGTCCTCTACCTGCTATAATCTTTAGCATCTGTTGACCTCAAAACTCGTTGTACCTCTTACTCCCTGCAAATGCAGTCAGAGACAGGTGTTGTTTTTGTTATAGTTTAATGTTGCCTTACAATCATGGGCATTGAAGAATATAGTTTGCTGATCCTCTAAGTGAATGGGAAGGCACAATACCGTTGGTTTTTATTCATGCATTGGGAACTCCAAGAAATGCCAGCATGCTTCCACCAGACCAATATAGTGACCATCAATGTATTCCTGAATCTCATCCCTCGGCTGCCTTACATCTCCATGCACAATTCCTACATCTGCACCTTGTCCTCCCACCACAGCTGAAGCTCAATAATGGCCCTTGTAAATATATTTATAAATATATTTAACACCTTTAACAGATGCACAGATTTCAACATTAATGTGACAGTCATATTTGGCAGAGAGATATGCATTGTAAGGGACCACATCACAGTTATCAAAAACATGACCACTTGGAGCTTTATAAGTCCTCCCATTGTCAGGCCTTGCATATTCTGGATAACCATCATCACTAAATCTGGTTTCAGCACAAAATCTTTTCTCTTTGTGATAGTGCTTTGAGCATACTCCATTTTTCATGCACCAGGCTGTTCATGTCCACACAGACCATGCATCATACACTTTGTGACTATTGAATATGACTTTGGTTGTGTGACAGGATCAGGAATTTGAGCAGAGACAACAGAGTTAACCTGAGTGGCATCACAGATTTTATATTGATCTTCCAAGAATATAAGAAGATACATGTGTGGCAAACCCCGCTTTTGGTATTCCACAGTGTAAACAGATCCCAAAGTCTTTTTAAAGATCCCATCTTTGACTTCCTTCAACAGTGCCTTCTTTTTCTGATAGAAAACATGTGCAACAATGTCAGGACGGTCTGCAGCAGTCTATTTTCTTGTAGGCATATTGGGGTCATCATCTACTTCACTGACATTGTTGTATTCCAGCAAAGCCTCTTGATTTCAAGGCCAGTTGGTGTTTGCTATCATTGTAAGGAAAATATCAGGTTTATGGGAGTGGTGACATATAGCCATAGAGTCTTGGAGGAGCTGGTACATGTGCTGTGTACTGCCAGAATGAGAAGATGGTAGGACAATATTTTGGCCCAGTTGACCCAAATCTATTTCCCCATCATTTTGATCCATAGTATCTTTGACACCTCGGTAGAAGTCTGCCCCTATGCCTTTTTGATGATGATGGACCCACTTCAATTCACTTTCTTCTGTGGAAGCCCATGCATCAATGCAATACTCCTGAAGTAGCTTTCTACCACAGAAAAAATTAGATTGATCGGTTTTTTGGGGATGGAGACGGTATGCATAATAACACTGCTGGGAGACATTGACTGTGTATATTTCCATCAGCATTTTGAATGGACCGTATTGTCCTATGCCACCCTTGTTCTCCGAAGGGAAATAGTGACAAATTATGACATTTGTTTATAGTATGAGAAAACATGCATTGGCCAGGGCTTGAACCTGGGACTCCAGCTTTCATGGTCTGGTGCTTTTACCAACTAAGCTACCAAGGCGTACTTGGAAAGCATACTGATTGGTTGCATGCCCAGAAGGTCCAGAATAACTGTACACGGGTGCAGATCCCATTGTGTTGTGATAAATAGGAGGACGTAATGCAGAGGTGAATAAAAGGGGTGCAAATGGCTGATATGCTTGAGGCCACCACCATGATCAAATTGCTTCAGCCGCAAAACAATATCACGGTGCTCATCAACATCTTGTTCTCTATCTGCAGTAGGAAGACTATAATGACATTGGTCCAGAGTTTGGTCAAGAGCTAGTATCTGTAACAAAGTATACTCAGTTAGTAAATGCTGAGAAGTTAGGATGTACTCTGCAGCATTGTTTGGTGCTTCTTTATTCCTTCCGCACTTTCCTCTGCAATCTGGTTCAGCCTCTTCACCCCTAGTTGCAAGTGTAAATTGAGATGGCCATCAGAAGTGGTGGGGAGGCCAGGGATCGATTTGACCTTGCGTGGTACTTTGAGTCTTGATATTTGTTGGAGAATGGAGACTGAGGGGACTGAGGAACTTGTCGCTGTGTATAACATTCAGCACAGACTACTGATGGCGGTGATGCGGCAGCAGCTTGTGGCGCGGGGTGCGGACCGGACATTGAAACTGAGCCATAACAGGAGACGTGAGAAAAATCAATGAAAGGTTCGTGGTGAACGGCGGGCACAGTGCACGGACCCTTTGGACAGCATGCCCGGAAGGATCCGCTCGCTGTGCCGGTCGTTCACCGGCAAATTTTCTCCGCAGTCCAGCTGTAAGGTGCAGCTGCACGCCATTTGGCGCGACTTAGCCTCGTTGCCTCAATAAGGCAATTTGACTAATTAGTCTCACTGTTGATGTCGGATAGGTGTTCGTTATAGACACCGTCCCCTTCGTTATAGATATTCAGGATCTCACATGACAAATACAAGGTGTGATTCTACTGAAAAGTGCAGTGAAACTTCGACCTTACGTACATTTTACTGGTGTATCTTCCGTGCAAACATTCCCTTCGATGCCCAGTATTTCACCCAAAGTGCTGCATCTTCAGACGTAATAGATGCTAGCTCTCTCATCGTTCGACTCAATTGCTGTGCTTTTGTCGTAGAAAACACAACCAATCCTCCTGCTTCATCATCATTTCCTAGGCCTTGGATGGATTTATCACCTTGGGCGATCGTGCGCATGAAAGGAAGTAGCTTCATCGCGGGCTGATGTAGATATTAGAAGACCCCGAGTCTTGTTTTGAAGAAGATTGGTGAGCAAACGGGGACATACCATTTCCTCAAAATCGTCTACACCCGCACTAAACGCCTTCTCTTCTAGTCTCGAGAACCATTCTCCGAATGCTACAGTAGGAAGCGAACTAATGATAAGTTTGTTTTGTATCAACGCGTCCCCTATGGACTGCATCAGCGCTGCCCACTCCACAGGTCTGGGATGCACCAAGTTGATCGTTGTAGGAGGCTTTGCCTTTGCGAATGCAACGTCCAAGATCGCATGCGAAACAGCCTGGGGAGGCAACCAAGAAACAACCTGTTTATTCCATCAGTTGGATCTTTTAAACCAAAATAAGTCTTCTTACTCCTTTCGCAAGCGGTAGAGCACCTAGGGCTACACTTGACTTGACTAGCATGGGGAACCAGTCTGTAAGACTCCAAGCTCCTTTTGGCTGTCCTCCTGATATCTGTCCTATCCTGAATGACGACGCTTGTAAACCACTCTTCTCTAGTAACTATTTGAGATACAGAATGATGAATATACAAAACAACACTCAAATATGAATAATTCACTGCTTACCCGCTCACAGACATATTTACTAGCACCATAGCCAGACCCACCAGACGCAACGCTTGCATCAAAAAGCACTTCTTCTGGGAACACGCCTTGGTTCTTGTCCCATCCTTGTGCAGAGGAAATGGATGATGTAAACAAAAATCGTAAACTTGAAGCACCAGGGGATGAAAGCGCGAAATCCAAGAGATTCCGAGTACCCTTAATGTTTGACCCAAAGGAAGAGAGAGCAAGGCTGAAATCAAGCCGCCAAGCGTTATGAATGATGATATTAGTGGACATTCGTAGCTATCGATTTTGAAACCATAATCAGTTTTGTCGGCAGCCACCTGCGAGCTCTTCATTCTGACCCTTACCTTATCATACACAGCTCTGTCCAGGCCTAATTTATCCTGTGCAGCATCGCCTTCGATATATCGGAGTTTGGGCGAGTTCAATAGAGCGATATCCAATCCCCTATCCTCGAATCCAGTTTTCTGTCTCTCTTCGCTTGTTTTTCCGACCTTGGATGACCTATTGAAAGCATAGACTAGGCTAACCCGTTCGTTTTCTAGCAGCGACGCAAGAAGATAAGAGCCAAGGCCACCGGTAGTACCGGTGAGGAGAACTACATGGCCTTTGAGGTCATCCTCGTTACGGTGCTCCAACGGGTTCAGTGTCCCTGTCAACCCTTCAGAATACCTTGCGACTGTATTTTCAATATCCGTCCTCAGATCGACGAGCGCGCACCCTTTTTCAGTGGACTCTAGGTTAGAGACCACACGAGTAAGCGCCTGAGACAATAGCTTGATCGTAGGGTTGCTGAAAACGATATCCTGGTCGATTCGCCTGGCCGCTGTTCGAACATTGCCATCTGACGAGGAGTTAAACGACCCGATGATTCGATTTTTGCGAACAGTTGCAGTTAAACTAAAAAAAAAAGACAAAGGAACACACTATGAGCTTCATTTGGTGCAGGGAAATCAGAACATGCCTATCAAAACCTTGCTCAAAGACATCCACTTCGGGATCTACTTTCCTGCCCGAATTTACGCGAGCAGCGTGCTCCCCTAGCCACACAACCAAGGCTTCTTCTGACCAGTCCGTTGGCAGTTCCACATCGCTACTAGCACTGGTGATAGCTTCAACTGTCTCATATCTGCTGCGACGGCGAGAGTTAGCATCATGTCAATCGCTTTTAAGAAAGGAACACGAGCAGAGCATCAATTTCCTGATCATAAAGTTTCACTGCTGCCTTTCTCATGACGGTTCCTTTCCCCGCGCGAGGCAAGAGTTTCTCCGGGCGAGTCACGACGATCATTTCTTTGAATATCCGGCTGAAGGCTGGGGCCCCTTTATTTGCTGCCTCAACTTCCGGCCTGTGGAAAACAGGTATAGATTAAACCATAGGGCTACCAGCTTAAGAGAACAGCGTACCAAATTTTGTTCCTGAACACTGCCAGTTGCTTTGAATCTTCAACATCGACGTGGAATCCTTGCCTCGGCTCGACTAAAATTCCAACATGATTACGGGCACGACCGAACATGACGGTACCTCCCACTACCGGACTAGATGCAATGATGTTCTCCATAGGTGCAGGAACAACTTTCTCTCCCGAAGAAAGCACTATAACGTCGTCTGCCCTCCCCACCCTAATACAGGAATAAGCATCTCCATGGACTAAACTGAAGCGATAATTTTAGTGATCTTACAGCTTCCACAGTCCATCTTTAGAAGGATGCTTCAAGAAAAGATCCGATGTGGCATAGCCTTTAACATCCGGGATATTCTCTACTGAAACTTGATGCATTTGGCTCTGCTATAGATACTTCTATGAAGCTCGTAGCTATGTTAAAAATGAACGTCACTCACCAGAATCTGACACTCATAAATTCCATCTCCTTGTGGAATCCACCGAAACATCACCCGAGGGCTCATGGTTATCCATACCCAATTCCCTACCTCATCTTTTTCGCGAAAAAGAGTGCTAGTGCCACCAAACTCCGTGCCGCCGTAGATGTTTACCAAAAGTACGCCTGCCGACGCCAGCGCATTGCCAACTTTTTCGGATAATGGGCTACCAGAATATCCCTGTAACAGAGAGGTCAATAACTCTGTACAAAACGGAAAGGATGCTGCGTACAAGGTATAGAAGCGACTTCAGTATCTCTATCACACGAGGAGATAATGCCCATAACTCAATAATTGAGGGAACTGCGATCAATACTTTGCAGTTCGTCCTTTGCACACCCTCGATTACATTTTCAGAGGTTGGGATGACTGGAGTAGCTTTCGGGTTGCTATACGAGGTGGGCGTATAGACAGAAGCACTGCGGAGAGTAACCAATGGCATATATAGTGAGGAAATGATACCGAGAGTATGGAACGATGGCAGCAGCATCACACCAACACGCGTATCAGTGGGGTAGAGTTTCATATCTGTCACCGACGCTAGAGATATTCTCAGCAAAATCATTGGACTGAACAATATAGAGATGTCCATACCTGAGGCACACCAATGAAGGACTGTCTGATAGGTCTGGGGGATAGCTTTCGGGAAGCCGGTGCTCCCGGAAGAATGAAGATACATCATCACCTCGTTGATAGAAGGACGACTCGCTCTCTCAGGGAATGGTACAAAGGGGTCATCAATTGTTTCTAGGCCAAGCTTCGGGTATATCTGCGCAAGACACGGGATATCTTGAACCGCGAGGTCAAAGGATCCGAGTTCTGATTTAATGTCACCCAAGAGGGGCTGGAGGGAATGCTGTGTAGTTAACAAACGATGACAGGAAGTCTTCAGCAACATGTTGGAGACGGCGGATGCAGAATTTCGTGGAGACATCGGAAAAGGCTAATATGGAAGTGAACATATGGCATGAGTTTGGTTCTTAAGAATACTTACAACGTATCCTGCAATTATCACACCAACCAAAAGGGCGAAGTATTGGATGGTGTCGGTCATGGCGATGATGGCGATGACTTCACCACCAGGGCCAGTACGGTTAGGACGAAGTGCATGTGCAACACGATGTGAGGCTCTATAGAACTCCAGGTGCGAAATGGAGACGATTTCCTCAGTTGACCCATCTTTTGGGAAGACAAAGAAAGGTATGTCCGAATTGTTTTCAGCATTGAAAGCAAGAAATTCGGGGAACAATAAAGAACCATCCAGAGGTGGATAATTCAAGTCGGGTGAAAAACTGTGATCTGCCATAACTATAGAAAGTAGTAAGAAAGTTCAATGTAGGGAAGATGATTTCTCTGACAGCCAAGCGACTCACTCCTCTACTTATGTTCCAGTGAAGATGCGGCATGATGCGTGAGCATCAATTGGCCACTTGAAAATATTTTGGAGAACCGGGTTCGAGTCACATCGGCGGCAACGACTTATCGCGGGCTAGGCCGATGTAAGTATGATAAAGTATCATTCCATCATGAAGCTGTAACTCGTGAGATGGCAAGGCGGAGATGCGACTGACCAAGGAGTATCAAGTTCTAATTATGAGGCCTAAGGTCCTCATCTTCCTTTGAGTGTCCGACCTTGACATTTGTTGATCCACTAGTACTAAAAAGGCTATACAAATTCATTGTAGATAAAGTTTCGATACAGAAAAAGATCTTTGCCGCCATCGACTTACCTATCACATAGTATCTTAGCTTAGGAAGCTCAACACTGGTCCGATTTAACAGTGCAGAAGCCCTCCATCAGGGAATAGGAACGACCGATTGGGAACGACCGTGGGATGACCTTTTATTCCTGGACCCGCAAGATCCAGGCACTCTGAGATAAAGGAGGCCTAGTCTCTAGTCTGGTCCGAAGTAAGGACCTTTGGCAGGAACCCCCGCTTCGGTGGTAATAGAGAAGGCATAATGAGCGGCACATTCGGCTTGAACTCGGCATTTTGTGACTAGTCACACCAGGAAAAAGCACATAAAGCTATTGTATCACAACTACAACAATTTATGTAGCACCTTGGACCTATATGACTCTGAATATCCCATTTCTTTTTGCCCATGTTTTGGTTCAGGTGTGTCTGCAATTTGTAGCGGTGTTTTAATTGGAGTGGCTGGCAGTTTCACGATCTCAATGGCTCAGCATCTGTTTGGGATGGAAGAAAATTTTGAAACTAGTGTGATTTGTCATCTGAGAGCTTCACTATTAATTCTACCGATTCACACAAAGGCTAAGTGGTGGTTGAAGCAATAGCTAGCCTTTACTGTGATGCTCAGCCATATTCAACATCAGGAAAAAACCTTTTGCTATATAGCAGAGGGGTTTGTACATATGTGCAAACAAAGCCTATTATAGCACCTATAGCACTTATAGCACTATAAGAGCAACTATAGTATGATTCAAGTCCCTATAGTACTTTAGGAGCAACTATAGTATGATCATAGTGACTATAGTGTTATATGAGCAATAAGAGCAATGGGAGCAAAAAAACCTTGTGTGTGATTATTTTTTTAAATCAGCCACAAGCTCTCTCATAGCTCATATAGTCAGCCATAAGCTATAAGTGCTATAAGTGCTATAAGAGGCTATAGCCAACTATAAGAGTACTATAAGAGCACATTGTTCCTGAATAGATGTTGGGGTTTTGATTGCAGCTATGATCACTATGACAACTATATTTGCAACTATAGTACTATTAGAGTCTATATAGCCAAAGTGTTTTTCCTGATGAATTGGAGTGGTTGAGTTTAAAATCAAGGTGCAAAAGAGCTCAATATTCGTGTTATTGGCACCAAAGGGGGGTTCACGCCAAATGGCCTTACTTTTGTGCAGACCTTATTTACAAGATATCAACTCATCATATATTGAATGAGGTAAGCAAGGGAGACTACCTAGTCTCCCCAGTCAGACCAAATTACTGATATGACAGTTGATATCAGTAAATAAGGTCTGATCTGAACTAAGAGTGGTGTGCAATAGCCCCCCATTTGGTGTCAATAACACGACTTGTTGAAACTATTTTGCCAAAACCTGAGCTCAGCAGAAACTCAACATAAACTCAGCAACTTGAAACCCAGCGAGCACTTACTTGGAACTGCAGAGCATCCTCAGGCTTGCCTTTTGAAAGTCGTTATCCAGGCAGGAGCCACATATATATATATCAAACAAGGAGGATTTTGACAATATGAGTGGTATCTAGCTTTTTTTTAAGTCTAGATTATTTCTTAGCACAGTTTTGGGTTTTCTGTACATTGCTTCCTTATTATCATTATCATGCAACAGTACTTCACTGGTTTAGCCTTTGAAAGGCATACAATTGATGAGATCAAATCAAGAATATGTAGTAGACTGCCCTTGCTGATATTTCATAGGGGCCATGTAGTACTTAAGTTTTAGTGGACCTGTGTTCCTCTTAAATGTGGCCGTTTCATGCCAATTTTGTGGCACCTGCCGACCATTCTCAGACTCGTCTTGTAAGCTTTATTGGCACTGAATGGGGGGCTCCTGCGCGCCACCCTTAGTTTGGACAAGACTAGGCTCCCCAGCTGTTCCTGGTTAAAATTCCAGTTAACGTAGCCAGAATTGTCTCTTGACCACTTGTTGCCATTGTGAGGCAGACAAAATCCCCACTCAAGATGACTTGGGGACTTTATCATAGCATTTGAAAAATCATAAAAAATGTGTACAAAATCCAGTGTTACGATAACACATTTTTGGACCTTTCCTTTCCTTTTCATTCTCCGCTTCAACCTTTTACTGTAGCTTTCACACTCCATGCCATGCAGCACTTTCCCTTTTATTCAAACTCCTCCTTCTCGCGCTGCATGGCCTTTCTTTTAATTTTAGATACTAGTATCTCACGTAGTGGAGCTAGTTACACGGGCTGTGCCCTATGACATCGTCAGCCACTGCCTTTAGCAACTGTATAGTACATACATACAAACAAACCTGTAACAGTATATAAACCCCAATAGATCCAGGAGACTCCTCAGCGAGTCCTCCTGTTGTATACCAACAAACTCTCTGCAGCCTAAGGGGTAACCACTCCCCATTCACTACCTTTATAGTGTGTTCCTGTGTGAGCCAGAGTAACTAACTCTCGGTTGTTACATCCAGTACATGAAAAACAATCTTGTAACTAGTACATCATTTGTTATATAGACAACTATTTGCAAAAGTTTTGAGTGGAGGTTGTGAGAATCAAAATGATTGAGCTAAGGACTTTGCGGAGTCTCAATCACACAATAATTTCTCGGACAGCCAAGCGGCTCGCTCCTCTACTTATGTTCCAGAGAAGAAGCGGCATCATGTGTGAGCATCAGTTGGCCACTTGATAAATATTTCGGTAAACCGGGTTCAAGTCACATTGGCAGCAACAACTTGTCATGGGCTTGGCTGATGCAAGTATCATTCCATTGTGAATTTGTAACCCGTGAGATGGCAGCGGCGGAGATGCAACCAACCAAGGAGTATGAAGTACATAGGCAACACAAAGGGATGAACCTTTTCCAGCCCGGAAACTACCCACTCACACTCCAACCAGGCCAGACAAGTGACCGTTGATTTAATAGTGGAAGACAGCATATTGACATCATGAAGATGGACCTATTGCCCTATCTGTACTGGCTGCCGGGGCTTTGCTGATATTAAAAGTGGCACATGGTAGTCAACAAATTGGTGACAGAAGCAGATGGAGAGTGGTGACATCAGGTATAGTGAAGGAGCAAGGAAGACGTGTAGGAGGAGGGTGGAGGTTATGAAGTAGTGGACTGGGATAGGTGGCCAGAAAAAACTGCCTGGTGAGAATAAAGAGGAGAGTAAAGGGCCCATGGTGGGGCTAAGTAAAGGAAAAAGGGTAGGGGAAATGACAAAAGCAAGGGTGCAATGTGTAGCCAGTGGCGATGCAAAAAATTACTGAAATGCTGAAATACCAAAAGTACCAAATAGAAAGCAAAAGTGAGCACAACTTGATTGCCTAATAGAGGTGGTGGTGATCAGCCACAAGTTCAAAAAGGGCAATATTAATTACTATGCCATGTGGCACTGCGTTTATTTGGCATAAAGGTGAGTGTTTTGAATATTTGCTTCATTTTTTACACCTGTCCATGCTACCAATCAATTTTGGTGCATGAAACCGGGCTCTCTTATATATGGCTGAGTGGACTTTGACATAGGCTTCCACGTGGGTAGCCTCTGCCCAAGCCTTCAACCTTTTGTTTTGAGAGCCATGGGCTGCTCTCACCTTCATTCTGAACAAAAAGGACTTTTGACCCAGCAGGATACATATCTGATGCAAGGCGTTGTTGGCCTGACCTTCCCAGAGTGTAAGCTCCTGAATTACTAGATGGTGTAGACCTTCAATTTTGCAAGTGCCTTTTCCTAAGTTAGAGGGTAACACCAGTTTTCTCCTCTCAATGGCTTATCATTGCTATTAAAGGAACCTGGGAGGTCAAACAGATTTATGTCTTCTGCATTGTTGTCTTTGTCAGAGTTTGGCCACCCCAGGACCTCCTCAAGAAACTCAGCAACATCAATATTGCCTAGATAACTTTTAACCTTGAGGTTGAAAGCATCTACGCAGGAAAGCAGGCATTGATACCTTTCCTCTAACTCCAGTTTTTCTGTGGTTGTGCCCTTGTTGTTAATTTGTTTTGCATACATTTGCAGCTGTATCCTGTTAGGTAGAGTTAATCACTATTCAACAAAGCATATATTCCCAGGGTCCAGGGTGCCTGGGGACTTACTGAGTCTCTTCCAACTTCAGCCCTACTGATAACCAAGCAATAGTTCCTCAAACCACTCCATTTTATGTTTCCTATTGCAATAAATGCAGCTGGATTTCTGCTTTGCTGGGTAATTTTGCCAAAGAGACTTCATGTCAAAAAACCATGGCGTCTTTGGAGTAGCAAAGCTGCCAAGTGGGGTGTTGGAGTAACTGAGTAACAGAGTACGGAGGACGAGATAGGGAATTGGCTTAGCTTGTGTGCTAGGCCCTTCCACGGACCTTGGTCCCTAACTCAACGGAAAATGGATGGAGGAGAGTAGAGGATGAAAGGGAAGTAGAGTAAAGATCCTTTAGAGAAGGATCAGAAAAAATTTAGAAAAGGACTTGGTAAAAAGGTGAGGGAATCTATTTGATATTCAAACTGCAGGAATAGAGTATAGGAGTTAAAGCTTATATACTGTTGGGGGAGCAGGAGCCCTTAAGAAGTAACTTGTGATGTATGTACTGAGTTCCATGCAGACAACTATCTAGTGAAAGGAGAATGTATGTGCAAGGAGTGTATTCAAGTTATAAGGTCTAACTACAGAGTCCACAAGGAATACTAGAACATGTGAGGGGAAATGTATGGTGGACTGGAAGTCCAGTGCAGGAGTATTGGGGTGGACAACTGGAGTACCATTTGGAACTGGGGCGTAAAGTTATGCTGACCGTCAGACCATGAGGAACATAATCCCGGGTATGCCAATGGTTTGGGAGCTTCGGACTTGGAGAGTATTTCCTTCAAAGGCGCCAGAGCTCTGTCTTCCAGTACAAATATGGCAGTTGTAATAACCAAGAGTGATCTACTCCGGCGCACACAGAAACACACTATAGAGAAGATGAAGATGGGGAGTGGTTACCCCTTGAGCTGCAGTGAGTTAGTTGGTATACAACAGAAGGACTCGCTGAGGAGTCTCCTGGATCTATTGGGGTATATATACTACTACAGGTTTGTTTGTATATGTGTACTATACAGTTGAAGAAGGCAGTGGCTGATGATGTCATAGGGCCTAGCCCGTATGGCCAGCTCCACTGCGTGAGAGAGTTAAGTCTAAAAATAAAAGGAAGGCAATGCGGCGCTAGAAAGGGAAATGCCGCATGGCAATTAAGGTATAAGGTTAAAGCGGAGAATAAAAGAAAAGGAGATGTCCGGAAATTGTGTTATCGTAACAGCAGTATCCCCCTCTTAGGGTCGAACTCTTGAGACACAAAGATAGCCTTTGGAGAAAAGGGCTCCGGTGGACATATTTTGAAACGGGGTTAGGGTAGGATTTCTCTGGTGGACAAATTTCCTAGTAGCGAGTGGCATGCAGAGTCCGGCTGAGTTTGAATGAGGATATACTTGGAATTCCTTCAGTTAAACAGTCACGTTCAAAACATCTCTTAACTATCACTGTCACTCCTCTTACTATTGGGCTAAAGGTTATGTCTGGTACTCTTTTACTTTTATCTTTCTTTTTCTTATTTTCATTTCACACTCACATTCTATTATACTTACAATGTAGGAGACTCCTCTCCCATTCCCAAGAAGATATCCCAATGGCATAACTCCAATCAAGAGCTGTGCTCGGGAATACTTTGGTGAGAGATTAATCAGCAATACAGACTGTGACTTAGTGCCTTTCCTATGGGGTCACTGATCCTGCTATTTGTACATCCCTTACTAAAGATCTTTCCCATGTTATTAGTAATTATTATAGATCACATTATTTCTGTTACGATACACAATTTTTGGACCTTTAACTTTCACTCTCAGCTTTAACTTTCTTTCTTTATTTTCACACACTATGCCATGTGGCACTTTCCTTTTGTTCAAACTCCACTTTCTCCTGCTGCGCTGCTTTCCTTTATTCTTAGATATAACTCTCTCATGTAGTGGAGCTGGTCACATGGGATGTGCCCTATGATATTATTAGACACTGCTTTATCAACTGTATAGTACACATGTACAAACAACCTGTAGTAGTATAAATACCCAATAGATCCAGGAGACTTCTCAGCAAGTCCTCCTGTTATTTACCCATAACAAGCTCACTCCTACCATAAGGGAGATTATCCTCTCCTTCACTCACCCCTCTCTGCTCGTCTTGTTGCATGCCAGAGTATACAAACTTTGGTTGTAACAACTTTTTCTCTTTGATTACTATTGGCTGATTATTTGGTCAGACCACTTTCTTATTCTTTCTCTTTTTGATCTAACCCTTACTATTCAATATATAAGGAGTAGATATTTGATGTATTATTCCTTAGTTCAATATTAGTTTGGATTTGCACCTATACCAATACTCTTCAACATCAATGCCCTGATCCATCGCCTTCTGGACTTGGCCAGGAATTTGTTATTGTTATATACATAGCTTCATATTTGTTACCTGACATTAAGTACCTAAGATATAGTGAGATATCTATAGATAAATCAGTATTGTAGATGATGTAGGAATCCAATAATTGTACTCACAGTTCTGACTACCTCAGCTCTTTGAGGTAGTCAGAGCTGTGATGTGGCAAATGTAGCAAAGCTGTAGCTGTGGTATTAGTGGGCATAAAGTTGGAGATACTATAATCTAATACTAGGCATGATTTTTGCAGTTCCAACATTTTTTACAGGTGAAACATGTAGAGAGACACAAGATTGATCTCAGCGGGAACAGAATTGCTATATCAATTAAAGACTCTACAAATACAGAAGATGAAAATACCTTGGCGGGAACAGAATCACTGAGGTCCTAACTACATGAATGGTCTATATATATAGTATGTAGTATGCTAGGATTTCAACAGTGCGGAGTCCGAATATCAGAAGCCTAGGCTGTTGTTGATGTTGACACTGGAACTCAACAAAACATTGTAGGAAAATAGTCTTAAAAGGTAGTGCTATACATTGATGACCCAAAAATCATGCATGGGGTAGGTTTGGACTTAAAACAGGCAATAACCACCTGTTCCTGTCACCACAGAATCAGTTGATTATCACATCATAGTATTTACTTTCAGTTGGAGACTTCAACTTTCTCCCTACTAAATGGGTTTTGGCCCAAGGTGATTTTCACGAGTCCTTGGTCTCACAGTGCATGAGTTGCATTTACTCTACTGCTGGAGGCTCACGTGATAAATCTGAACCGGGTTTGCGATTCATTGCAAACTACCATCTGGCATTATCATTCAGGTTGCAAACATTGCGCCTAATGAAAAGGCTTGAGCCAAATACTATCGTGGCTTCATTTCCCATCGACGACGAAACAGTAACATTTGGTCGAGATCCGCATTGCAGCGTGCGATTGTATTATCCCAAAGTCAGCTCTGTCCATGCAAAGCTAGTGTTTCAAGAACGAAAGGTCTGCATTGAATGTACTCTACGCTCTTTGATATTCGAACTAACCCTTCACAAAGGCATTTGTCGTCATTATAGGTACAAACGGTCTCTATTGACGGATACCCGATTTTCCCTTCCGACAACCCAGATCTACCTACAACAATACCAGTATCTAACAACTCTGAAATAGAGATACATAAGAAACGTTTTATTTTCACCTACCCCCCTAAGGAACTACGTGCCGCCCTTTTTGACAGCCCTGTCAAGGATGGATCTACTACTCCCGGAGCCCAAAGACGAGCCCTACGTATGTCTATGATTCAAAGCGCGGAAGTCTTCAGTCCCAAACCCAGCAAGGATCCCAACGAAAATCTCAAGATATTACAGAGTCCTCTTAAGGCTCGAGGTCGGTCACCCGTCAAGCACCCGTTATATTAGCAACAGAATCTTGCAAGTCATCGTGGCGATATGGACGAAGAGGATATTATTCTGGTTGATGGAAATAACCCGCGCGTGATGGAGGAAGAAAAATATTTGGTTATTCTCGAAACTGCCGAAATTAACGAACCAATCAATTCACTCAACCCCGAAACATCAGCCAGAAAAGCTAATTTTCACCCTCCCAATAATACCAGCACGCCCTTTCAACACGAGCCGCAAAATCCTCGTCGACATGTACAAGGACGTCCTTCCTTGCACCGCGCAGTGCTCGTTCGTTCGGCTCAGAGAGCCATTATGAAGATGGAAACCGAGAACGAGGAAGAGGAGGAAGAAAAAGAAGTAGAGGAGTTCATCGCAGAGAGCATAGGACTGGAAGACAAGCCTAAATTCGGCATGGTAGATATCCAGGAACAAGTAGATGGGGAAGGTTTTGATGATGACCTTTTGGATGGAGATTACGATGAAGAATCAACTCCACAGCCAGATCACCCGTATGGTGGGTGGAGGAAAAGCCTTGAAGCGTCAAAGGACTAGCATGGCCCTTCCGTTCTTCCTCCATTCTTCAAGAAGACGCCTGTCAGCAACTAGAAGATTGCAGCTCAGGAGAAGAAGAGGTAATATTTGCCTGTTCTTATTAAAAAAAAAACTTCTCATCTAACGCTGTATTTAGGAGCCAGCTCAGGAGGATGAACCTGATTTTACCGACGACGTACAAATACAAAGGGAAGCAGAAAGACAAGCGCCTCTACCAGCCTCCACAACTACGCCAATACGCTTACAACGACGAAACGATTTTTTGGCACCCCAACCACATCATACACGAGCTCTAGAAGCCCCTCAAGGTGCTGGCCGTTACTCTTTTGGTGGTGCACAGAGAATTCTATCGGAGCCGAAATGGAAGGTCACGGACATCATCGTACCCCTTCCAAAAGAAAAAGTGGAAAGAGTGTCATATCTGAATGATAACCATTATGGACAAGCCGACAAGTGGGGAAGCAGGAGGTCAAAGGTTAGCGATGAGGAAAGGAAGGTATGTATACATTCTTAGTATGTGACGTGTCTTCGAGATTTCTTTTTTCAAAACTTTCTACAGGCTATTCGAGAGCGCAGAAAATCAGCACTTATAACTCCAGACCCTATTTTTGGTGGTCAAGTTCCCGGTTTCAGCACGAGGCTACTCTCTACGCCTTCCCCTGCTACGGTATCGTCTTTGTTCTCTCCTTCAAAGACAAACGTGTCTCCTGTAGCGGCAGTGCTGCGTGATTTAGATAGTAGTGAAGGGGACGACGAAGAAGATGCTCGGTCACTCTTGGAAAGGATGAAGAAGACGGTGGAAGACATGAAGAGGAGGAGGAGCGTTGGTCCTCCTTCAAATGCAAACTCTGCCCGTGATGAAGACATGATTGTGGACGTCAGTGAAAATGACGAATCTGGGACAATACACGAAAGGATGACTGTACAACGACAGTCAAGCCAAGGAACTGCTGACTTCTCAGAAGAGGGAAGTGATAAAGAGAATGAAGGTGCTTTCAGTTCACAGCATGATTGTTCCGACCGATATCTCGACTCCCAAGAACCTTGATCAGCAGACAATGATTCTGACATGGCAAATTCTGACAAAGAGCAAGAAAATGTTACCATGGGTGCATTCTCCGGGACATCCTCACATTCAGTGGAGGGTTGTGATGGTGTTGCCCCTCTCACACCTCCCCTCGACACCATTAAACACCTCTATTCACTTCCCAAGACTAGTTCTATTACACCAGTCTTTTGCGGCGTGCGGGATCTATTTAATGGTGCCGACGCGCATAGATATGCACACCCTCTGCACACACCAAGGATGGACGGAGTGCGCGATATGTATTTGCGTGAAGGTACACACGTGACAGATACACCTACTTTCGAAGGCCTGCGTGATATGATGGAGAGCCTAGCAGGATATCGCAAGTCCGATCAGGAAGAGGACAGTGGTACCCATAGCGAAGAAGACACTAATGTAAACGAGGTTTCGGTGAGGGCAACAGCTGGTGCAGGAAGAACGACACGTTCTGGTGCTTCGGCCAAACCCCGCGATAAGGGTGATATGTCCTGACCCACCACTACACGTGTGGTCAATGCGATAGCTGATACTGTGGTGCCGAACTCAGACCAAGAACAACTTCAGCCTGGCCAATTGGAAGTATTGAAAGATGGATCTACACAGGCTTCTCTTGGCATCACTGCGGAAGTGGAAGAGGTTTCTGGAACCATGGCACAATCGACTGCGGGAGAAGGACAAATTTTTCGTACAAAGCTTAGGTTGCTTAGGGTTCGTAAGCAGGTGGCTGTGAATGAAAATGACCAGGTAGGGCCGGATTTTAGTGATGTAGTGATTACCTACCTAATCCTAATTAATCTCACCTCAGCAGGATAAACACGGTGTGCGATCAATGGACACGCTGGCAACTGTGTCGGCCAAGGCGAGCCGAATCAGGAATGTAAAGAACTTTCGACTCTTGCTGAGGTAAGTAAGTCGAAAATGTATATTATACGTAGGTTTCACGCTTTCATTCGTCCTAGGCCATGGCGGGCCGTTCGGCTCCCAAGAGTCAAAGCTACTCCTAAATCGAATGGAGACATCACTGCTGCTGCCTCAGCAGGAGCCAGCAGCACCAGCAGATGCTGGCAGGATGTATGCCAGACCTTGTATGAAACCTTTTATTGGGAATTCCCACCCATCTGCTGATGATGTGCCATCGCAAAAATCAAAAAAAATCTGCTAAGCCTATGCAAAGTCTTAGCAGGAGCCAGCAGGCCCAGCAGGTTCTGTAAAATTGTGACAACATCTATACCAGGGGATGTACAAAAAAAAACCTGTTCACTCTCTTCAACTAGCATATTGTATTCTGTGTGATGTCACATTTATTTTCTGTCACCCTTTTATTAAGGTGTACTTTTGGAATACATCACAGGATTTTATTTGCCATTGTTGTTGCCTTAATTGCTTCTATTTGCACACTCATAGGATTATTATATTTCAAATTCACAGGAGGGATTCGAACTAAAGCCACTCAAAGACTTAACAACTTGAATGCAATACACAACTTAACCACTTAGCAACAATACCAACTCAGATTCATAGTATAAAGTATAATATATACCCTTGTTTTAAGATTTCCTAGTTTCTGTAAAGTCATTGCTGAGCATCCTAGAGTTTCAGAGCTGCCAGGAGGGTCTTATACACGACCCTCTCTGTTAAATAACCCAATATTTTCAACTTGAATTCTACTATCAGAATTTACAGATGGCAGCCTAGCAGCTATCGACAACCTCTTGACACCTATGACAATACTGCTCTACCTTGTTTAGGTTACCATCCAAGCCATGTTGTTTGATGCTCTCATACCAGACAACCCGACCACTGTTATATATACATACTATTACATACAAATACATATAATTGCAGAAAATACACGCTGTTACAATTGACATACCAGCACCTACTTACGCTTCACTTTTTTGTACTTTTACTTTTCATTTTCCAAGTCAGATGACTGATCATGTGGCCATTTACTTTACTTTACATTTCGGACTTTTTATAGTCACATGATCATGTGACATATCATCTGACCAGTGTCTAGACTCATCATGTGACTAGTCACATGCTAAACATTGGACTTTAAACTTTATTTACAACTGTACAATACCTCATGTATTTTAGTATATATACAGGAGCAATACATGGGGAGGGACTCAGCAAGTCCTCCTGTTGTTAACCAACTAACTCACTGCAGCCTAATGGGTAACCACTCCCACCTCTTCCTCTTCTTTTGAGTGTTGTTTTCATTGTGCTCCAGTGCCCCAAGACTGTGTCTTGTAACAACCAAGAGTTAGTTACTCTGGTGCACACAGGAACACACTATAAAGGTAGTGAAGAGGGAGTGGTTACCCCTTAGGCTGCAGAGAGTTTGTTGGTATACAACAGGAGGACTCGCTGAGGAGTCTCCTTGATCTATTCGGGTTTATATACTGTTACAGGTTTGTTTGTACGTATATACTATACAGTTGCTAAAGGTAGTGGCTGATGATGTCATAGGGCGCAGCCCGTGTAACCAGCTCCACTGCGTGAGATACTAGTATCTAAAAATAAAAGAAAGGCCGTGCAGCGTGAGAAGAGGAGTTTAAATAAAAGGGAAAGTGCCGCATGGCGCGGAGTGTGAAAGCTACAGTAAAAGGTTGAAGCGGAGAATGAAAAATAAAGGAAAATGTGTTATCATAACATATCTTGTTGGTGTTGTCACATACGCCTGGGCCATATCATGCGATCTGCTGCTGAACCTGCTATATTCTACTAATCTATGCCAAGCTCATCCAATGAGGGTATCTGTATGCTGATGTTTGCCAAACTCCATCAGGCAGTAGCAGGAATCAACTGTTTTCCTGATGGAGTCGCCGATAGAGAACCAATCAAACTTGTTCGCATGACACGCCTGGCCACAAAGGAAATAAGTAGTGAAAGCTCTATCCATGTGGTGGACGAGAAGCCTTCAACAAACGCAAAATCAGCTAGCAGAGGCAAGCCTGCCAAAAAGGCTGGAGAGCTGGAGGTTGATGAGTTTCTCGTGCAGACTTTGCCGAAAGGGAGAAGTAGGTCCAAGGCTCTTGACGTCACTGAGGGCAATGATAACGATCCCTTGGATTCTGTTTGCCAACTGGAGGACAGTCTAGCAAACATTGGACACTTTACCAGATCTGCGAAGAGTACTCAAACTGCTGTGAAGCAAGAAAATGATGATGGGACTCCAGAAGGAAGAGCTAAGTGAGGTGCTATCCGCCCTGTGGTCAAAGCAGCCCCTTCGGCTAGCATTTCACACTTAAAAGCTGCCTCTGCCAAGAAGGTGGCGAGCATCAAAATTGCTGAATCGGCAATCTATAACAAAGGGAACAGTGATCCCAAATGCCGCATGCAAGCCATGTTGTGTCGGTTATTTTGCTTAGTTTTGCTTGCGTGGTTTTTGTGGCCACAGGAGAAGCAGTGCAACCAGTAGCGAACACAGTGAAAATTGCAGCCACATTGAAAATTCTCACGCTTATAAGGACAGACAGCACAAGTTCACTGACAGATTTGATATTACTTTGGAGGTTGAAGATAATGTGGAGCAGCGGAATGCTTTTGATACCATCATACAGTCAATTTATCATAATTGGGGAACAACTTGCATTATTCACAGTGCTGAAGGTAAGGGAAAAACATATCTCTGTAATACAATCGCCGCTGCTGCTCGAGCAAGAGATAATCATAATGTTGCTCTATGTGTAGCATCCTCTGAGATTGCATCCCTGCTCTTGGAGGGTGCCCACACAGCTCATTCACACTTTGGAGTCCCTATTCCTGTACATGAAACATCCACATGCAGGAATCCAAAAAACTCTGACCTCCATGAGGTATTGAGATTGTGGGACATTTTGGATAATCAGCTTCTGTTTGGAGGCATTACAATGGTCTTTGGACGGGACTTCTGCCAAACAACACCTGTTGTTCCAAGAGGGTCAAGGCAACATATTATTTCTGCCTCTCTTAGAAGGTCACAACTGTGGACAAAAATTCATGTCTGCTATCTCACACAAAACATGCACCTGGACTATACTTGTTACGATCTCTATTGGACATTTAAGGACTACTCATTTTTTTTTACTCATTGGTTATACCATCGGACCGATGACTCATTTCCTTCACGTATACTTCTGTTCCTCTCGCATTTGCAGTACCTATTATAGTACTTAGTCCTTAACGGACGGACCTGCCCTAGATAGGACCTAACTCCTATCACCGATTCCTTTCCATTATAAATACCATGTAACAGCAGTAGTATACTCCAATACAATTCTACGCAGTTTACGCTTGCAAAGCTAGACTCCTAAGATCAGACTTCTACTCAGAAGAAGACCAACTCTTGTTGGAAGACCTCCACTCAGAACTACGTTCTCGAACTTGTCTTCGGATAAGTCTCTTTATAAACCTCAACAAACCCTCAGACTTTGTTAAGCACTTTGTGCGTAACAATACTCCAGAAAGTGAAGCCTTTGCTAGCTGGCTCTTGGATGTTGGTGGCACCTCCCCCATCATTACGGGTGTCAGTTGTGCCATGTTCTCTCCCACCTTGCCTGCAGAAGCGGCTCATTTGATGATGACTAGGGCCATTTATGATGGTTAAGTGGAGATTTTCCCTTAAGTGTGATAAAACCGGATAAACCCGGTCTCTGCCAAAGCAGCCATTGTTCTCCATGGCGCATAGCCACCACTCCATTGAGTAACCATTGTTCTCCTAGGAGCACAATTGTACTCCTAGGAGTCATTATACTGTAGCGAGTAGCACCTCCGACTATAAGTAGTAGGGGGTTTAGTATAGGAATACCTCAGTCGTTTCTATAGCCTCTTGGGCAGCGGCTGAGGTATGTTACATTACATTTATTAGAGATCACCTTAAACTAACATCTATTGTAGTTTCACTTAGGTAAATAATAAAGTTGTTTCTATAGCTTCTCAGCGGCTGAGTTTCACTTAGTTTTATTAAAGTGTACCCCCATCTTCCTGCATTCATGTACTTGTATCTCGCTCGCTGTCCATGTGTCTCTATAAAATACAGTGTTTTCTTGCACCATTATTGGGCTCGCTCGCTCAGTTCAGTCAAGTTGCACTCTTATAGCTGAAATAGTAATATTGAAATATATTCATCTTGATCTGCTTAGGTTGGCGTGTGACCTTAAAGTCGCGAAAAAATTAAATTATAACAATTTTACAGTAAATCTCATGCGCGGAGATTAAAGAAGAAGTGCCGAGTCTGCGGCACCATCAAGGTTTCATCCGTAACCAAACATCCACAATATGGGCACAGATCTAGGCACGGTTCTCACATCTCAAATCTCAGGTTTGCAGGCAGCACCGTGCGCTTACGTTATGACTTAAATGATAAATTGCCTCAGCTTGTACATCATTTTCCCAGCCAACGACCCGGATTTTGAGCTTTTGACCGATTCGGCACGGTTCTCAGATCTCAAATCTTTGAGGGCGCCGACGCCGTCCAACACTTGCAGACATCACCGTGCGCTTATGTCATAAATTATAAATTGTCTCTACATCATTTCCTCATCTTTCCATCAGTGAGGCAGCCAACGATTCGGACTTTGAGCTTTGACTGATTCGGTATATTCTTTGCAATGCCATAATTTCAATTGGACTCGGACGTGAGTGGAATCACATCATAAAAAGGATGCTACCAAACGGGCCTGAAATTCAAAGCCGAGTTGCAAATTTCTCCTCGGGTTGATCAATGCTGCTAGTGACCTACTTCTGATTTGACTAGAAGAAACCTGATTGATTTTGTTATCACATTCAAGTTGTAGCAAAGTCATTGATGAGTCAGACCAAATTTTGCGGTTTCGTGGATAAGTATAAAGGTGGGCTATCCTTGCCTGCATACGCAAATTTTCCTTCTTCCCGGATACCTTCAGGAAACAAGGAGATTGTCTTAATAATAATATGGCTCTCGCTAACGCTTATCTCGACGTCAGGATGTCGATGGTCACTGGCGCAAGCATCGCAGCACTGGTAGATGTCCATCCCACGTCGTATTTCTTATCTAATACTGAAAATTTCCATCAAGGTGACCTGGGCTGTTCTCAATCGATTTCCTATTCGCGGTGATAAAGTCGCTGCCTTTTATATTGCTGCTATTGTCAGCCAATATGTTGTCTTTCGGCAATCCTGGCTGGATACTTCAATCATCGCTAGCGTATACATAGCCTCCTCCTTGTTATATACCACAGCATATCGATTTTCTCCATATCATCCTCTGGCTCGCTTTCCTGGACCTAGGATGTGGTGGGCAAGCAGTCTTATATTGTCGTACATCTCCACAACCGGGAGGCGTCACCTTATAATAGATGCACTACACAAAATACATGGTCCTTTTATGAGAATAGGTGGGTACCAGTTATTTCATTAAAGAACCTTCGTTTTGAATGAGACAGGGCAGGACCCAATACGCTGTCCATTAACGCAATTACTGCAACTTCGATATACAGCGCGCATCTGAACATGGAGAAAGGTGAATCGTACAGATCACCAGGGTATCATGATGGCAATGTCTCCTCGATATTTGTAAAGCAGAAAACAAACAAAATCCACTCGAATCGCAAAAAGATATGGTCTGCAGGCTTTACCAGTGCAGCGTAAGCCATTGTTCGATTTTTTACTACTGGTCAATGTCACTAAAAAGCTTTTGTAAGGTTGTCGCACTATTATCCCCACCTTGAGACCAGACTGTGGGAGCTGATGAAATGTATCGAAATCCGGCAATCTTGCAACAAATCCAAGACAGTGGATATCTTTGAATGTTTTTCCCACTGGTCTTTCGACTTCATGGTGTGTTATTCTCTCATTTCGTCACGAATCATGGCTGAAATATAGGTCTCTGTGTAGGGTGACATGATGTTTGGAGGTTCCTCCGCCATTGTTCGTACCCTCACTTTCGGCTCTCGTCTAACGCTTATATGGTACGTATATAGGAACTGATGAAAAACGGAGACAATAAAAATCTTATATTTGGAGGAAAGATAGCACCTATAATGTTAGATACGTATGTTTCGTTTCATATGTGCATTCTCGTGGTCATATTACCTGAAGTCACCACCCACAGTATTGGCCACACCCCTTGGCTGATGGACGTTCTTTTGCATGTCCCTAAAATTGAATGCTTATTCCCATTATTAAGCACTGGCGCCCAAATGATGCGAACTCGAATTCAAGAAGATAAGGATATAACTACTAGGGATTTTAGCTCCTATCTAGTGCGTTTTATCCGTGATTCCTACTCCATTTTTATTTATTCTCTGCACATCAGCTGGATGGAGACCCCAAAACTGGGGAAAAACTTTCTCAAGCTGATCTAGAACTTGACGCTGCAGTAGCCATACAAACAGGATCAGACGACACTGCTGCGATGTTAACATTGGCATTTTATTTCATGTTGGTGCAACCTAAATATTACCTAGAGCTTCAAGCAGAGCTGGATAGCGTGTTCGCCGACCGCAGTGGTCATCTTGATCCCACTGCTTTATCCGGCTTGAATCTTCTTAATGCCATCATCAACGAAACTCTTCGCTTGTCTTCACCTTTCTTTCTCCCCCGCATTGTTCCTTCGGGAGGGTTTGTTCTGGACGGGAGGCACATACCAGGAGGCACAACCGTCGCTATCGCAACTCATTCTTTGCACACAAGTCCTGTCCATTTCTCACCGATGCCTCAAGCGAGTAGATTACACCCACATCTTTACTGTACGTCTGACCTGTAACATTTTTCTAGGATTTTCTCCCTGAAAGATGGATTCCCGGAGTCCTCGGTAAAGAGTGTCATACAGACAAAAATGCTTTTATGCCCTTTTCATCTGGTTCGTGGTCTTCGGTTTATGCTATCAGGTATCATCTCGCTGAACGTGACAATTTCTACACTAGGTCCACATGCATGTATCGGTAAAAACTTTGCTTATCAACAACTGCGACTCATTGTCGCGCGCCTTGTATTGGCCTATGACATGAAGTTTGCTGATGGGTTCGATAGTCATACATATCTCAAGGGGACAGTGCCCCTACTCGCTACTTGGTTTCGTAAACCTCTATTAGTTAAAGTCATCAAACGCTCTGGTATTGACTTGGATAAATATGTGTAGTGTTAGAAATACAAGTGCAAGCGTCCACGAAATAGAGAGGTGGCGCGAGATGTTGGAGCAATGACCGAACTAGGCAGGCCTAGTGAATGGAATGGCCATCAGATGGCAATTTTTCGTTTTGTTTCCGTTAGCTGATATATAGCTCTTTTTCATCGATAAGACACCTCAGAGTTTTCCGTCCAACTCTGAGGTGAGACATCTTCTATTCTATGTAGTTTCACCTAGCTCACATTACTTCCTCATGTAGTCTTTTACGTTCTGCTAGGTGCTTACAGTTTTATATATACCTCAGAGTTTTCCGTCCAACTCTGAGTCTTTTACGTTCTGCTAGACAAAATGTAGGTTATACTTTGTGACTACTCTCCTTACTGGCTTGATATTTTTGCTTACTCCGGAAGATGAAGAAAGAGAATGTTTTGGACTAGTCATCTAAATACTAATCAAAACATCGAATTTTCATAGAAATTCCATCGTTATTAAAGAGCAGTCAGAATATTTGATTTAGTCAATGTAAAATCACTTCGAATTGTTTGAACTTTGAAGGAAAGTTTTCTAGCTCTAAAAAATTTAATATTTCAGGGAATATAACCGCAAAACTAAATTATCATTTTGTTTATCTTATTTTCTGATAGTAGAAAAGTACACCCTTCTTGACAGCTCTTTAAAGAGGTTCCTGCACCTTAGTAGATGACAATGTATCTAAAAGACTGTCTCTCGTCGGGATCATCAGTAAAATGTAAAATTCCTTACTATGTATTATACACCTTAATGACCACGAATAAGGCAAATTAAGACGAGAACATTAATCCATGAAAAGGCGGGACTAAGCTGACCCGCCGCCTTGAAAAATTCTTAGAATGTATTGTCACACTTGGAAATAAATAATAAATCTAAGTGAAACTCAGCCGCTGCCCAAGAGGCTGTAGAAACAACTTATTATTTACCTAAGTGAAACTACAACAGATGTTAGTTCAAGGTGATCTCTAATAAATGTAATGTAACATACCTCAGCCACTGCCCGAGAGGCTATAGAAACGACTGAGGTATTCCTATACTAAACCCCCTACTACTTATAGTCAGAGGTGCTACTTGCTACAGTATAATTTCTCCTAGGAGTACAATTGTGCTCCTAGGAGAACAATGGTGACTCCATGGAGTGGTGGCTATGCTCCATGGAGAACAATGGCTGCTTTAGCAGAGACCGGGTTTATCCGGTTTTGTCAACAAATTCAAAAACATTTTTAAGACACGTCTAAGACTTCGATATCACGAATTTACAGGTCCATTAAAGTAAAAATAAGAGCAATAAGCAGAGCATGACAAGGGTTATCAGCACAAAAGCGGCAGATGGCCAGTAACAAAGATAGAAATGTATGCAATTAATAGGAGAGGAAAACCTTGCTTAGATGTCCACCAAGCATTCACGAGGGTTGGTGTGAGTGTCCTCGGTGAACTCAGTGTTCTGTTAAGTAAACACCAAGGCCTTGTGGGTAATCTCTTCTAGTGAGGAAACCTTGAGGGACTTGGTGGAATTATAGTACTTGCGGGTTGTTGATCCCCAGTTCATGTCCAAAAATTTATTGTGTGTGGCAGTCTCCTTGCCAGTTGACTTGTTGAGCTTTGGCAATGGCTTGGCATACAGCTTCAAGTTTACTGCCTCGTCCATCCAAGTCTCAGTGATCTGATCCTTTGGTTCCCACAGTATTTCTCTATTTGCCCACAAAGTGAACACACACTCAACCTAGGAAGAAGTTAGTGACAAAATAAATAAAATAAAATAAACATACTGCAGCAGCGGACATAGCTAAGGCTCCTCTTGGTGGGAACTTTTCCATGTTACTAAAGTCACTGTACGTTCCATCCACCTGATGTTTTCAACATCAATAGCACTGTCAATTAAGTTTTAAAAAGTTGTGAATGTCTGAAGAATAAAAAGAGATTGTAATAAACCACGGTGCTTCTAGAGATAATATAAAAATTAGTACTGTGATGATAGATTAGAAGTGAATCAAACTTACCAAAGTCTTCTTTCCAACCTCCAAAAAAAGAAAAGCCAGGTCCTTCAACATGCTTTTGGCGAATTCCTGTTGCATTTCATAATCATTAAAATCTTCTTTGGACTCAAAAAATATTTCCATAGTCATGACTGCAGCTGACCCAAATCCTGCACGCCATTCAGAAATGTATTGTCCAAGCTAAGATGGGATCATGAGAATATATTAGCAGCAAGATAATGTAGACTCACCACTCGACAGACTGCATCACTAGCGTTGACCTTGTAAGGATTGTCCAGGAATACAGCATCCCATGTTGCTTGAATTGCATCTAAGGCCTTTGGATGTTACAATTGACATACCAGCACCTACTTACACTCCACTTTTGTACTTTTACCTTTCATTTTCCAAGTCAGATGACTAATCATGTGACCATTTACTTTACTTTACATTTCAGACTTTCCATAGTCACATGACCAATCATGTGACACATTACCTGACCAGTGTCTAGACTCATCATGTGACCAGTCACATGCTAGACATTGGACTTTAAACTTTATTTACAACTGTACAATACCTCATGTATTTTAGTATATATACAGGAGCAATACATGGGGAGTGTAACAACCAAGAGTGATCTACTCTGGCGCACACAGAACACACTAAAGTGAAGATGAAGTTTGGGGAGTGGTTACCCCTTGAGCTGCAGTGAGTTAGTTGGTATACAACAGGAGGACTCGCTGAGGAGTCTCCTGGATCTATTGGGGTATATATACTACTACAGGTTTGTTTGTACATGTGTACTATACAGTTGATGAAGGCAGTGGCTGGTGATGTCATAGGGCCTAGCCCGTATGGCCAGCTCCACTGTGTGAGAGAGTTAAGTCTAAAAATAACAGAAAGGCAACGCGGCGCGAGAAAGGGAAATGCCGCGTGGCAATTAAGGTATAGAGTTAAAGCGGAGAATGAAATAAAAGGAGATGTCTGGAAATTGTGTTATCGTAACAGGGAGGGACTCAGCAAGTCCTCCTGTTGTATACCAACAAACTCTCTGCAGCCTAAGGGGTAACCACTCCCCATTCACTACCTTTATAGTGTGTTCCTGTATGTGCCAGAGTAACTAACTCTTGGTTGTTACATTGGATTGCTTATGTTCCATGGGTTTTCTATGTGCCCAGCCACTTGGAAAAAGTAGGGACAAAAACTAAGCGCCAACGGCCACCCTGGAGGCATCCATCAGGCAAGTCACAATTCTTGGTCTTTCCAGCTGAGTTTACAGACTTAATATGTTTTGTGATTGGCACATATCCCTCTCCAACTTTCACAAGACTCTGAAAATAGATACAAAAAAGTTATAACTCATACACCACTCTGGCAGAGAGGTTTGAAAATTCAATATAAAAATTAACCCAACTTACCAAAACAGAGTCCAATTGTTGCTTTTTCCCAACTAGGTTTTCATGCTCTCCTATGTCCAGCTCATCTGTTAAACATCCAGCTTTATACATATAAATTCCCTCATGATCTTTGTTTGCCTTCCTTTGAGTGTTGTATCAGGGGCTGATGCAGTTGTGAGAGCAGTTGAAGTAGTTCATGCTTGAGAATTTGCAATGCTGGAACAAGAATATCTGTTGGAAGGTGTGGATACCTGACTGGGAGTACCTGCTAGAGCAAGCCCTTTTACTGTCTTCTTCAGATTTGTTATATCAACCTTAACATCAGTAGCCCATGATTTAATGTAGTGGCGGAAATCATCTTGTAATTCTGAGTCTTTGTTGAGCATTGATAACCTAAATTCATGATACAACAGAGTGGATTGAGTTAACACAAGCATCAGATTGGATGTCATAATAATAATAATAAATATAGATCAATAATAGAACCATTAACATACCTGGCATGTGGCAGTAGTTTTTTCCCATCATGATGACAAGTTGCCTTAAGGGACTGTTTACTGCCATCAGAAGTAGTATGCTTGCGGAAAACCTCAGCCGACTCTCTTGCTGCTACTAACTTCTTCTTCTTTCCACTACCAAGCTGTTCCTCCTCACTGGAATTGATAACAACCACACTGTCTTGGGTAGGACTTTCACCATCTGAGTCAACGTCCATATAGAAGTCAGTTGGATCCTGTGACTCTTCCTCCCGCTGTGTGTAATTTATTTCTTCTTCATTGTCACTTCTTGCTGATACCCTTCCATCTTCACATCACAGATTTGCAAGATTTGTGTGTCAAGGTAAGCTCCAGTCACTTTCCTATGTGCCTTTATCATCTGATACTTGATATACAGCTATCTACATTTTATCCTAATGGATGCAAAAGGGATGGAGTTTATATATACATTCCCATGTCATCTATTCCTCCAGCAATCAATATATGAAATGAAGATGGCACATTGATGGCATTCATATACCATTCAATGCCTAGGCATATGAAGACAACTCTAGTGGCCCATTTCAAGGCTAGCTTTGATGGGTTGCCAGTATTCTCCAGTGTTCTGGGTAGTGACGAACCTTTCAAATGTCTCCACTTCTCCTGGTGGAACAGATATGGGACTCAGGTATATTCCCCCCCCCATCTCTCTCTATATCACTCACATAAAGACATTGATCAAGGGTTGTGGGGCACCTATTGATGCGCACCCACATGAATTAGACGTCACTAACAAAACCCAGATGATCCCTTATTTGTCAAAGGAGGGCTCAGACAATGAGCAGCTTTATTTGAACTTGCAGGATGCTTTTGCAGATGTTTTCCAATGGATTTCTGATGTTGTAAGATTTTTGCTATTTGTTTCATGCCTAAATTTCTCTGATGTATGTGTTTCCTAGATGGAATTTTGCCTACCAGAAGAATACTCTATGCTAGCCAAGATAGTTGATACACTTCCTGGAAAACCAGGATCTCCAGTCACTCCTTTTTTATCTCTTGTTATTAATATTAATGTGAGCACCACTGCTCATAGGGATGGTAAGGATCACATCCTTTGTCTTGTCCTTCCATTGGGAGATTTTACAGAGGGTGCTCTTGTGTTACATGAGCAGGGACTTGTTCTTGAACTGAAGAGTGGAGACTTTGCCATTTTCAGACCTAAGGAGTCAACACACTTTAATTTAGATTATCAGGGTGAGAGAGCCTCATTTGTCTTACACACAGATGGTCAGTTGAGGAATTGGGTAGAAAATAGGAATGGCTGGGAGGGGAATGCATTCTTTAAGTGGATGTAGCTTAAAACTTAATATCAGTTTATTTGGGTTGCTTGTTTTGACTTACAGGTTTTGGAAGGGATAGAGGGGACACAGGTAATGTATCATTTTGTGGGTCCCAGTATGGTTTGTTATTGCTTATTTATTCTGAATTATCATTCTGCTAAAGACGCATTTAGGTCTTGCCATTTTTGCTAGTTTTTTTTCGAGGACTTCAATGCCTAGAGTTACACGGTCCAAACAATCTACTGTTCTCAGAACTAGGGGCAGAGGTGTAGCAAATGATCTAGTGACAGCATCTTCTCCATCACCACCTCCTTCAACCCAGCCTAGGCAGCCTAGACAGCCCCAGCTACATCAAAAGAAAAAGGTTTTTCTTATTTGTTCTACACTAATACCTTACTATTTACAATTTTCAGACTACTTTTGCAAGACCTAATGCCACAGCACCCAGCAAAGAAGACGGAATCCTGCCCGGGGCTCTTCTAGCAAGAAAAAAGGCTGCATTAGCCTCAGAAGCTGAGGCAGAGAAATCTGGTACGTGATCTTACTTTTAAGGGCACAAAAACTGAATACCTATTTTCAGCTATGCATAAGAGAGTAGCAGCAATGTTGGCTGATGAAGAAGATTCTGAAGGAGATGACCTACATGGCAAGAAAATATGTCTGAATGGTGATGATAATGACAATAATGATAATGAGGATGTTGCTGATGATGATGATAATACTGATGATGGCAAGAATATGATAGATAATATTCTGGGTCCCGCAGAATATCTAGTGACAATCAAGATAATTCTGTAGTATCTCCTTTACAGCCTCTATCAGATGATAATGAGGAGAAGGAGGAGGACAGTTCCCCAAAAGAGTTGTGGATGATAATGAGGTAAGACTGTTGTCGCCTTGAGAACATTTATTTACTTGCCTACAGATTGTAAGAGGAACAGATTGTCCCACTGTTTCTACATCTACATCTACTATGTCACACACATCAGGAAAAACCCTTTTGCTATATAGCGCTATATAGCCACCACCTATATATATAAACACATTCATAGAAACTATAGTACTATCAGTGCAATCATAGCTCTTATAGCTCTTATAGCATAGTAGTAGGCAAAATTTTAACCAAGGGGAGAAGTATCTATAATTCCCTCAAACTCTGGATTAATCTAATAAACTTGTTCAATAATAGAAAGAGGCCAGAAGTGTTTGGAGTCAAGTATATTATTATAGGCAAGGTACTATAAGTGCTCTTATAGCCTATAGCAGCCTACATAGATTACGACTTGATAATGGATCAGTAATGACAGAAGAAATGATGAAATAATACCAGGATCATTACAGTTCCCTGATTGGATATGATCTCATATAGCTTAGATAGTCTTGACAAAATCAATCAAATTTTTACCAAGTCCTTATAGCTATCCCCCCCATATATGCATAAGGCAGCCATAACAAAATGATGCCCTGTGTAAAACCAAAAGCAAAAGATAATCTAACCATTCAAACCAGTACCCGGACACAATCTTCTAAAAATCCTGAAGTGCAAGCTGAGAATAATGCCAAAAATCTGGGTAATAAATCTAAGTAAAACTCAGCCACTGCCTAAGAGGCTATAGAAATGACTTTATTATTTACCTAAGTGAAACTACAATAGATGTTAGTTTAAGGTAATCTCTAATAAATGTAATGTAACATACCTCAGCCGCTGTCTAAGAGGCTATAGAAATGACTAAGGTATTCTAATACTAAACCCCCTACTACTTATAGTCGGAGGTGCTACTCGCTACAGTATAATGACTCCTAGGAGTACAATTGTGCTCCTAGGAGAACAATGGTGACTCCATGAAGCAGCCATTATGCTCCATGGAGAACAATGACTGCTTTAGCAGAGACTGGGTTTATCTGGTTTTTTCACTGGGATTTGGAAGTAGAGTTAATGTTAGCAAACCAACGAAGAATGTCTCCAAGAGGAAACCACACACTGAAGACAATGCTGACCTGAACACCAAACAAGCTCACACAACTGCATATATGGATCCTTTTAGTACCCAAACACAACATGCAGAGCCATTTATACCTCCGTTTTCAGTTGCTGAATCTATATCAAGGTCAACAAAAACCTACCTAAGGAAACCCTTCACTCCTTTCCAAACTACAGTCTGAACAAGAGGAAATACCTTATTGGCCACCTACACCCATAATTGATCCATCACTGATCCAAAATCAACTGGATATTCCACTATATGCAGAAAAAGACCCCATTGTAGCTTCAGATTCCACCTCCGAAGCATCATTAATACACAATCAGCAGATTCTACTAGCAACCATGATGCGCAACTCACCAGAGCTTGAGTATGCAGATTGCACTCCAATCCGTATCATGTCTCCTCTTCGATGTTCCTCTCAAATACCATCCCCTCACCAAATATCCCCTTGCATTCTACATCCTCTTCCACCACTATTAGCCCCCAAGCCTCACTCTTGCCTCTCCACACCAGCTTCTTGTGTATCTAAATCTTCATCTCGCTTCCCGACACCTCTTTCTCTCCTTCAAAAATCAACCTCTCGAACCTTGCAATCAAACTCTTGCATATCAACTCCGGCTCTGAATAATCCAGCTTATAAATCCTCCACAACTTCTGTGCCTCCCCAAGTTCAACCACCACATCTCCTCAAAAACGCAACATTGGCTTAGGAAATGAAGTCTCCAATGCCAAGCAGATCCGCTTGCTGATGGACAAAATCTTAAACCTTAAGTCAACTCTTGAGGAGACAAATGTCAGCCTTGACACGGCTGTTGGACGGGTGAAAATCTTGTCAAAAACTGTTGACACTGTTAATAATGGGCATTTACACATTCAAAATCAACTTCTTATCTGTCAAGACGAACTCACAACCCTTCAAAACAATAACCAGCTACAAAGCACAGTGATAGAACAGCTCACCAGTGTCCTAAAGGATCTCAAGAATAAGACTATTACACCAGATGAAGGTTCAAAGAAAGCTGAAAATATTGTGAAAAAGTTTTGAGATAACTATTTAATGTGAGTCAGTGTTGGTTGCAGTTATTTGCAAAGTTAACTCACCACAATTAGATAATGGCAAGGAGGGCATTCCTCCATGCAATGGCAATCAATAATCCTCAACAGATTACCGACATGGATCCCCTCCCTAATAGCAAATTCTGGTACCACCACCAAGGCTAAAATGCTAATGTACTCCGACCAAATTTCTTTGCAACCTGGGCAGAAATTGAAGAGTGGGTCAAGGAACTCACAAAGTACATACAATAGAAAGGCCACGGAATATGTGAAAGCTTGCCCAAATAGTTCAACAAATCAAGATCAATTTAACAACTACCAAAAGAAATACAAGACTTACAAGAAAGACAATGATGAAATGGCTAAAGAAGCACGCAAAAAAACTAGAAGAAGTGTAAGAAAAACAAGAGTGAGTATAGTTTCCTAGTAACACACCCAAAAATAATACTGACCTGCTGATTTAAAAAGCTAGAGAATGTCGCTCAGTTCATGATATGACCAATATGCAAGGTCCAGAATGGGCATTTCTATTTGAACCTGTGTATCAATCCACAGATGAATCAGACAACGGCAAAAATGCACTGGATCTAGATACAGACAAATCAGCAGGTGAAAATGTCAAGATCATTGAGAGACCCTGGCAGTCAAGGCAACCAGCTTACCGTGCCAGCCAAGTAACCATCCCATAAAACACTAAAACATTGTTATCGGCTAATTTAAATCCAGGTCAATTAAGCTGTTATACTTTTGAATACATTGGTACAGAATAAACGTAAGGACAATGCACGGTCTGGCATAAAAAAAACTGGTCATTCATTTTTTATTGGAGAAATCAAAGAAAAGGGCTTACCTCCGCCTGGAAGACATGCCATCAAGATCCCGTGAGGAATGATTGCCATTCATTGGCTTCAAAATAATCCTGACTATGATAAACCATTGCTTATAATTGAGGACAAAGATTTTCAAGAACACCAAATGATGCACCTTAGTGATAATAACAACCCTCAAGACAAGTATGGCGGAAATAATACAGCAGCCAGTCAAAATTGAGGAGATGAGAATGATGGCAATGATGAAGAGGAGAACCAGGACCAGGACCAGGACTATGGTACTTGGGGGCAAGACTACAAGTTTGAAGGTTGGTCCTGTCTTGAAGCAAACATCAAAACTTGCTAACTTCTACAGATTAGTATTGAGTAAGATACAAGCTCAGAAAATGCACAAAGGAATGAGTGAGTAGAGTAGCTCTGTTGTTAGTATTGTATTGTAATAAAACTACAGTTCTCCTGCATCAATCTCCATATCCACCTCAGTCCCATCCTAAATTCTATGCATAAGACAGCTTTTTGTGAACCAAAAATGCGGACTCACATGATTATAAGCCACTGTAACCCAATACTTGAACCCTTGGACAGTTATTGGCACTAAGATAAGCTGGTGAGAGAGAGAATCTATTGAAATGACCTCTAGGTCATCCAATTTGTTTGCAATCCAAGTTTGAGTTCCTAAATTACTGGACCACATATCCCAGGGCATATCTAGACCACGGTTATCTGCTTTAAAGCAGCGGATGATGGCTATTGTTGTGACAAAAGGAGCATTCTGAGGGTCTTGATGAGCCTGTGTAATCTTGAATATTTACTGAACTTCAACAGCAACCCAACCAAGGATATAGGCAAAGCAAGCAGATTTGCCTCAAGCTTGTGTGGATGCACCATAGCGTAAGCATTTTGCTATGTTTGGGAAATTCAATTAGACTTGTCAAATAGTTAGCGTGAACTAAATAGAGTGAGATGAACATACAAGTGGCATTAGCTTGATCTGCTTAAAACTGAGCGATATATTCCTGTAATATTCTGCAATGTTCTGCAATGTTGGGTTGAGGTGTTACCTTTCAAACATGTTTGAAGGAGTTTGATGGAGTCTTTGTCTTCGGGAGTATGTTCAGGGAGTGATTGCAGCATAGTTATCTCCAAGGAATTAGTGTATTTATTGAGTACACAGAAATACAAACTTACTAAGTTGTGAACAATAAACCATTTCCACCATCTTCTCATCATTGTGCTTTCAATCTCACCTCCTATATGATTGTTGTGACGGGTTTGTCCCAAAAAGCTGTTATTGCACTCATAAGGAAAGGCCAATGTAGTGTAACATGGGCCAAATTCAAGAAGAAGTTGTTCCAAGTGTTGTGCCAAGTGGAAATATGGTGTAAGGTGACAACCCATGTGTGCCTATGCTTGTACTGACCTTGTAAGGAATAAGCATCCTCGTACAACTTCATTTGGGCTGATTGAGTGGGAGGAAAGAGTATTGATTGCAGATGAGAATTCTACAATAGTGTTGTAATGGAGATGGAGGGATTGGTCTATATGACTATCATCCAATTGATCAAGTTTTTCAAGGGGGGTATTGGGATTCAATGAAAGCATGACTTGCTTTCAACGTTGGCATAAGACCTTCTTGTGTTTGGCCTGAGCAGTCGCATGTTTTGTGCCTTTTGCAAAAAGAGGAGTATTGATGTCCGGTATTTCTCCATCAACCTCCCATGCAACAAAAAGACCAATGAAAAGAACACTGATGTGAACTCTCCATTGGTCTGCTTTTGCCGAAGTGAGATTCCTCACCATCTATCAATATGTAGTATTAAAAATTGATATATGCAGACGTGATAGGAAATTTTCCGAAGGGGGTAATCTGCTGACAGATACTGGCTATATGATTCTCTGATAGAATGCTTCTATTCCAACGGATGCCAGTTATATTTGTGGCGTGAGTTTAGCAACCTAGACTGGAGAAGAATAACATGTGAAATATGTTTCACCATATCTGAAAGAGTTAATCAGCTGACCAAATAAGAAAAGAGAAGAATGCCTTGTACCAAGGTAAACACAATGCATAAATTCAACGACCAAGTTAGTTGATGGGAACTAAGATGATATCCTACATAGTTTGGACCAGGCTACACCCCGTCTATGAAATATGTCTTCTGCTTCTTCAGGGTCAATGTCTTTGGACCTGAACGCATACTTGATATATTGCCAAGGATCACGTAGTTTAAATTCTATGTAGCGCCTTGTTAATAGTGTAAGATAACAAGAATAAACTTACTAGTTGGATCAAATCCAGCGGGAACTGCAAGATGATTGGAAGTTGTGTGACATTGAGGGCACATGAAATTTGTTGATGAATGGCCAGCTATCCCTTCAATTTTTCAACTTGCTGGTAGATCCAATACTTTTGTGTAAATCAAGGTGTGAACCGGCAACTTGTCCTTATATCCATAGGAGGAGAAGAGCTGGCCTTGGTATAGCTGAATGATTTGATCAATAAATGGCCCAATTAATCTGTTGAGTTGTTGGTTAGTTGGCTCATTTGGTCCCGGAATTACCATAACAAGGAAAGTCTCCTCAATGAGA